TATTTGGAAGTCATTGCTGGTAGCACCTGGGACACATCCCTGCTGCTCCGACCTGCTGGCAGCTGCCTCTTGCAGCCCCAGCAGCCATTTATATGGTAAGTAACACAACAGACTTGTGCTTGACAGCTTCCTTCAGACATTTCTTAGCAACTGGAAAGGAAAAAAAAAAAAAGGACATTTGGACAGCCAGCTCTCTCCAAGCACCCATATTTATTTCCCTCATACAGTTTGAAAAGCTGAGGACGTGGGAACCAAAACCTGCACAAAGTGCTCCTCTCCCGCAGAAGCAGAGGCAGGGAGGATGGTGCCCACCCGCTGCTGTCAGGACTGCAGGAGACATGAGAGCTCACGTAGGCATTGCATTTGCCTGCACAGGGCAAACTGCTTGAAATTAAAGCACAAGTATGTGCAGAAACCACACCTCCATATGAGCAAGCAGATATTTGTCAGTGCAATTTCAGACAAGTGAAATCCTTCTTCGCTGACACGAATGCCATACGTTACTGGGTAATATTATCAGTCACATTAAAGCGTGAGATGAATGAAACAAAGTCTTTCATTGGCTGCAATTACTTGGTAGTTCGAAACAGAGATGGGAAGCAATCCATCAGGTTGAAGAAAATAGTTGTTCATCCCTCCATCCCCAAACAAATCATCATCTTCACCAACAGGCCCCCGACTTCAGCTTAACTGTGGGCATAGGAATATGCATGAACTCCTAAAATGTTCAACGAAGAAATGTGCATCCACGTACATATTACATCTGACAGAATAGCCCAGAACTGGTGGGCACCCCAGGGTCTGCAGGCAGCTGGGGACTTGGGGTACAGCTCCCATCACAACAAAGATGCCCAGGCCCAGGTTTCCCAGCTTGTTCCCCTGAGCTGCTGCTCCACAGCTGCCTGGAGGGGTTTTGTTGTTGCTGCTTGATCTGCTGCTCTCCTCTCTCCCCCCCTCAGTAATATCTCCTCATCGCCTTCTTCCAGGGGAGAAATGTGTAAGTGTAGAAACTGTCAGTGTAGAAACTCTGTCTCTTCACAGCGGCCCTGGGCCTCGCCGGCACTTTGCTGTTTGCTCCCTGGAGAGCCGCTAATGGTTTGGTCTGACATAAAGTTCTCACACTTAAAATAAATGGTATAAACACAGACCTCTCCAGGAAGATCTAAAAGCAAAATGAGAAATCTGTTTGATTTAAGGAAGCTCTTCCTTGAGTATTTTTTAACGCTTTTAACTAACCAGTAGTTCTGATGATGTTTTTTTTAAAAAGTAAAACGAAGAAGTATTTTCCTCCTTTAGCGTCTGCATGATTTAAGGTCCAAGATTTATATTTCCACATAACAAAAAGAAATCGGATCCTGTTTCAGCAGAGGCGATGGCAAAAACTCCCACTGACTCCGGTTACAAATAGAACAAGCCCCATGTGCAAACTACAAAAGTAAGTTTTTGTGGAAACAATATCTACCAAACACTACAGAAAGTTAAGAACTTTTCCTTTCTTTTCTGCTTTCCTTATGGTAACATGTAAGGCATAACCTCTGATGGCTTTTTTGACCTGATCTTTAAAATCTGTATAATTTTGTGTCAGATAAGTCATCCATATGGTGCCTGATTCTTCACCTAAATGCTGTTTTTTCTTATTATTCCTGCAAGAAGAACATGGCTTGATTTTGGCAGCAGTTGCATAGACTTCAGAGTAAATATAGCTGTCACTGACTTTCCCTGAGACTCAGATACTTCTGAAAATAAGCTTTTTGGCACCCACTAAGGAACATGCTGAACATCTCCTTTAGTTACATGCCCCCAAAATAAAAAGAACCTATAAGAGTTCTTACAAGTAGCTATAAGAATTTGATTTGAGGTCTTATTTAACTCTCCTTATAAATATTCAGGGATGGTCCAGTTCTCATTCCAGTGATATCAGTCAGAATATCTTCGGTATAATCAGTGGTGGCATCACAGTATATAACTGGACAAATAAGATAATTATTAAAAATGACAATTTAATTATTCCTTTTTAACAGCCTCATCTGCATTTGTATGCTTGTGCAACAGAGTTCAGTTAAAGGGGACCTAAGTTACAACTTACACTGGATCCTGAAATCCAGCTCACACAGCTCTGCCACAGATCTTACTATTTAAAATGAACTTTCTAAATTTGTTTTGTTTTTAACATGTTAAAAAATCTCTCCCACTAAAGTCAGTAGATTTTCCAGTGAACTCCAGCAACTTAACCCTGCAACATTTTACTATTTCTAGATTAAAGCATGAGTTTCAAAATTTGCCCTAAAGAACAAATATATGCATGAAGTTACAGTGACGTTGCAGCAAGCCTAAGAGTCATCCTGGAATAGAAAACAATCCAAGCAACAATATTTGGCTCTGGGAAGTTTTCCCAGAAGTTCAGGAGCAGCAGCCTCTCTTCTGCTAAGGCTAGAAAAAATTCTGCATCTAGGCTCCTGTGCATGGCTCCTAAGGCCATCAGGCTGTTTAATCTGCTAGAGTTGAGTATTCTGTTATGAAAAGCTTATATTACACCTCTTCAGGATTCTGTTTTGTTCCAGAGATTACCTTCTGAAGGGAGCTAATCCTGAAACATACATATATACATACATATTTAATATATATACATATTTAACTTCCTAGCAGCTAGGCATGCCCATATACAAATGGGAGCAGACTTTGTGAGGTCTTCAACATCTACCTGCAAAGTGACTACAACAGATTAGCATTATTTCTTACTAGAAGCATTCTGGTTTAGTAAAAAAAAAAAAAAAAAAAAAAAAAAAAAAAGGTCCCAGGAGTGTTTTACTACCACAGCTGACCACAAGATGGAAGTCCTTTTCCATTAGATGTCTCCTGATTAGGAAAAGTAATAAAAAATACATCCTTTCTCCAGAGAAGTGTTTTAGAAGAAGCAGAATAGAATATCATCCTGTCAGCAACTTGTCTGGGAGGCCTCATCCATTTCATACTCTTTCTCCATCCAGGAAAATAATTAGAAGAGCTTCCAAAATGATGGGGAAGCTGCTGGGTCTCCCACTTTGCAGCCTGATCCGTTTGGCATCAGAGTGCTGGTCACCCTGCTTTCCTCCCTTGCCTCAGGGTAAGCACAGCTCCACGAGAGGGATTTTATCAGCACACATGGTAGAGAAATGGGTAAGGATCCTTTTATCCAGGTGGGTAGCCAAGGTGTAATCAATTTCATTTAATTAGCAGAGGTTTAATTTAAAACCAAAGCCTTTTCCTGAGAAGTTTTCCATTTTTTTCCAAGAAGGGCAGTTTCACTCAGAAATGATCCTGAAGGAAATCCCTAGCCAGCTCCACTCGATACGCCGGTAGCTTAGATACACCAAGCAGAGAAAAGCTCTGTCAACATGTGTTCATTGTTTAATTTGGAAGCATGAAGGATAAAGTAAACTCTTTCTTCATACCACTGTTTTTTTTTTGTGTTTTGTTTTGTTTTTTTTTAAGAGCTAAAAAGCCCTCCAAGGAATGACTCCAGCCACCCAAAGCCTGCGATGGCAGAGTTCAGGGGGTTCAGCAGGATTTTGCCTAAACTGCTGCACTGTACCCTACACAAAGCCACTGGTCTGGGATCTAAATGCTAAATGTCATTTATTTTTGTTGTTGCTTATTTACAAAAATATGCAAAGCCTCGCTGTGGGATGCCACCGGGCATAAACAGAACCAAAAGGCCATTGCTGTCCCAAGGGGCAGCAGAAACGAGGGTGAGGCAGGATGGCGGGTAGGAGATGTGTCCCCTTCCCACCTCCAAGACAGCACAAGATGCGATGTGTCCTGCTGCCCAGGAGGGAGGGCTGCCCATGTCAAAGCTGAGACCCTCACTCCCCGTGCTGCTGCATCTGGCCCAGCTTGCCAAAGCTTGCTTTTTAATAAACTACTACTATGAAAGAAGTGAAAGAACAGCTTCTCTGTTTTTAATTATCTGATCAAATTTACCACTCTAAATCTAATTGAGACGGCAAGTAGGGAACTACATTTAAAGACAGACAAGACATTTGCATCTGTTTTGCTGATTATAGTAGTTGCACGTTTTACTTTAAACATCAATGGGTTGCAACTGCTATTCAAATGATATGGAAATTGCTACTTTATACTGAAATTTCCCTTAAGCAACAAAGGAAAGGATTAGCACATGGCTCTGGTTTTTCTTTTCTCTTCTTCTTTTGAATTTAATAAAACACTGTGGCAGTGGAAAACTCTTTGATGGTTCATAAACAACACCTGTATCTTTCAATATTTTATTATACCAAGTTACAGAATATTTGAATCCTTTTGTGTAACTATTATGATAGCAATTTTTAATTTAAATAACCTTCTATATCTGAAACATTACATTAACTTCATTTTTACAAGTCTTCTCTACCACAAAAATGCACATACATAGGCTACGTGGATACTTATGCAAGGGAATTAAGTTTCTTAGAAGCAATTTATAATACTTTATAATAAATATTTCAGGTTTAGGTGAAGCTAATCAACTGGGTGCCTGCATGGAGCCTGTCTAGTTCACACAAACTCAAGAAACAAGTCTCATGTGGTCAGTGCTGCCCGAGACTCAATCCAACATGTTTCTAGCAGCACAGAGCAGCATCAGTGCAAATGAGAATCACACCAGTCAAACCACAGTGTGAACTTCTCCCACTGCAGCTCACATAAGTAAAATCAGTTGTGTCCCAGCTGTTTGCAGGACTGATTGTTTAATCCCTGTCCAGCTCAGTGCCCTTTTATGCAATCCTAAAAATGGCAAATTTTTAGTGAATTTTAATGGTAAACTTCATTCCAGGTAGCAAATGTAAACGATGCAAGGGATATATAAAGATTGCTTTATTAATCTCCCCTCAAATTGACTACTTTTGCAAAAGACTAATTAAAAACACTCTATAGATGTTTTGAATATTACTGCAGGTTGGTGACATGGTAGAGAAACAGGAACAAATAAATATCACTGGCAGCTTATGTGCCTTATAGGTACCTACCAAGGAGGAGTTTCAAGATGACTACTTGCCTTTCCACTGACTCCACTGTTACAGAATCTTCTTTATCCGTATCATGTACCATAATCTGAATATGTCCTCTCATCACAGTTATCCAGAATCTGCTGAGGAAAACAAAAGTGCATTATTAACAAAATGTTTTTAAATATTCTCATGCAGAAATATTGATAAACTGTAAAACAATCTGTCTAAAGAGTGACTACCAACATTTTTTTGATGGCGAAACTTCACTGTTTCAGGGAGCTCGACTAGTGGGAAATTATCAAGTCTTCACCAAATTAGTTTTCTATTCTTGAAATTAGTTCATTCAAACACTAAAGCACTGAGGTCAATCACTGGGTTTTCGTGTTCCTTAAGCTTCCAGACAGACCTCATGAGAGAATTTCAATTCTTCACATACAGGTTAGAAGACAAATGCAAAAAGAGTGATTAAACAAAGTAACTCCTTTTTCCCAGTAAAAGGTTTCAGTAAATCACCCACGGTATACAGCATCACCAGTCTAGGACTGCCTACATTATGCAGGGACACAAATTCTCCTCTTACTCACACACCTCTGCAGTCCCACCGCCTTCAGTGGACTTTTTCTCTCAAAGATATAAGGGCAACATTACTTGAAAACATTTGCATCACATTCATCCTACTGAAACCAACACAACAGGGCAGGCCACGATATATTCATGCGAGAGCTCTGATAACCATACTTGCACTTTTGGTTTTGTTAGTCACACATGAATATTTATGCACATTTCCATGATATGTCCCCTGGTTTGCATAGGGCACAGGTTGTCAGCAGCTGAAAGCCATTAGCATCTGACAGCTGCTAAAATAGCTTGTTTGAAACAAATAGGTGGTCCCGTCCATTGTCTAGCAGGCAGGTGATTAAGGCATCATTATGAGCTGCATCTTCTTTGGCAGCTGCCCGGACAAGGAAGGCCCTTCTTGCACTGCTCAGACCTGCCTGGCGGAGGGGAGATTTAATTATCGTCACTACATAATGGGTAGTTTGTAGGAGCCGGAGACCTGACAGAAACAGATAGTGGGCAAACACAGGACAGCTCACAGCCGATGAAGTAATTACAATCCAAATAAGAGTGCGTGAGCTGACAGGGAGCAGCAGATGTTGCTGTCCGTCAGCATCTCCATATAAAACATATGTTCAAATGTTATTTGAGAGAAAAAGAAAAAAAAAAAAAGGCAGCAGAGCATTATTTGCATTATTTGCAGAGTTACATGATACTGGTGTGGGGGGAAAGCTCAGGGAAGAGGCAGATTCTCACAGGGAAAATCCTGGGGATCTGTGGGGAGCAGAGAGGTGGAAGACATGAAGTGCATGGGGTAGGAGGGATGGGGCAGGAGGAAGACACCGCTTCACCTTCAACCTGCCAATCTCCTCCCCTCCCAACCCACTTCATGGATCTGATCCTTAGGTAGGGAGAGTGGGAATGCACTGAATTGTAATTGTGCTTGGAGGAAGAGAGAGAGAAGAGAAACCTGTGTGCTGGGCAGAGCTGAGGACTTCCCACCTCAATTGGGCAGACACAGGAAGGTGGTGGAAGTCCCGTTCATATTTACCCTCCCCTGTGGGAAAGGCTGCATGCACAACAAGTACAAAGTGCTGCCCAGTATCTGCTCAAGTAGTTCTGCTTCTCAAAAACAAAATAAAAGCATTTAGTGGGCAGGGACAAAACAGGGTGCTCAAATACAACAGAAGAGGTGCAATGCAAGTGAACCCTTCTGAGATGCTAGGAATGCTTGCCTCCACACCACACTAATAAGCACAACTATTCCACTCAAGGCTATTTCATAAATTATTTTTAAAAAATAAAAAGATGCAAAAGCAGGAAATGCCAACATGTGCACATTACTTCCTTTTTAACCATTTTCTTGGCAACCCCCATCTGTTTTACCTCAGACTTTCTTCCTGAAGGGAATTAATCTTAATAAGCTTAAAATTTAAAGAATTTCTGAAATGACTGTACCTACCACAGTATCACCTTCTAGACTTGGGATGCTGTCACTGTCACCACCTTCCATATCTCCAGCATTCTTTTTCTTCAAAATCTGCACAAATAATTACTGTTGTAAACATATTTATGCAAGTTTTCAGAAAAGAAAAAAAAGCCAGACTCAACAGCAACATGAATTTGGTTTGTAAATTGCCATGCAGCACTGTCACATTATAAACAACTACGTACATGTACTGCTTCCCTGCCTTTGATGCAAAGCCAGAATCAGACCTTTTCAACATTTTCTCATTGAGGCTAAATGGCAAAACAAACCACGCATGCTGGAGTGCAGTGGCCTTGATGGGAATGGTGTCCAGGTGCGTTTCTTTTTGTAATACTGACATGGTCTTTCAAATATTGCAGCATTTTTCTCTGGAGACAAACAAAAGTCTCAGAATCAGAGCTACTTTCATAGAAACATCATTCTAAGATAATTTGCACATGAAGAGAGAATTGGGTTTTCTCATTTTGTCTGGGCTTACCAGAAAGGCTATCAGAAAAGTGGAGTATGTATTACATATGTTGGAGCTAGTTTTTGATTTCATTTCGCCCTTTTGCAGTGTGTAGATCCTCTGAGAAGGAACAGTCCCTGGGGATAAGGCAGCCTGATCCTAACTCCAGCCCACAGAGCAGCCTGCTGCTGCTCATCCTGCCTGCTTCTGGCCTTGGGTATTGGCAGCATCAGAGGGACAAGGGCCGGACGGGAAGGCAGCTGCAGCAGTCACTTTGTAAGCCCTGAGCTCTCTTTCCTTAGGCCGTTGGTTATTGGGGCAGACAGAGAGAAGGGGGGAGCTGCCAAGGGCTGCCTCCTCAGAGAAACTCAACTGTTTTTGAGCACGTAGGGAATCGGGTGTTGATCTCCCAGCAGATTTTTTCCCATGTGCTGTGCACAGTTACTATTATAAGCACAATCGTGGTGAATGTTTGTGCAAATGACAAGCTACAAATCTTCTCGATACTTCATAGATCTTCATGACTATTTGTATTTCACTTGTATTTTTTGGAAATGGTGAGCGTGGAAATATGCCCCACTTTTCTGGAAGCGTGTGCACAACACGGCACTAATTTACAAACCTTGAAGTTAATAAGAACAGCAAACATTTGTGCCTAAAATCATCAGGGAAGAAATGACCTCCATTATCCAATCCCAGGGCTCACAAAACATTCACTGCTGCATGTTTGTACAGTGTATTTTTAAAACATGGACTGTTTAAAATATACACAATTAATATTAACAAAGACCTGTAGTTCTCAGAGTGAGTAGCTGGAACAAGCACTGCCTCCTGTCTGATGTGCAATGACCTTTGGAAATATTTTTAGGCGCTGTCCTATAAGCAATATGTCTTGCACAAATTACTTCTGCCCAGATATAAACCAGCATTAACCAAGAAAGCAACATGGGATGAATTTGTGTTTTCTAAAATTGGGGGGAAAAGAAAGTTACCAAGGTTTATAAGAGGATTTATAAACTGCATAATTTTCTCTCTTGTTTAATCCTAACACATACAGAGACCATGTGCCATGGATAAGGACATTCATAACAGACTGAAGTGTTATACGATTTCCCCATTTTTGAGTGAAGGATGGAGACTAAAGTAATTAGCTTCCTGTAAGAAACAGAACGGCTAGACCTTAATACAATCCATTATATATTCAATTAGGAGTGTTTGTGTTTTCCAGTAAGGAGAAAGATAAATTTCAGTAATGACTAAAAGCTTTGAAACTTCACAGAATTAATCTAAAAGTTAAAGTTAGAGAAAGCTTACGTGGAGTAATATATTCTGGGTCTTGGAAGTGATTGCTTCTCCTAGCCACAGAAGAAGCCAAAGTGCATGGTGTGCCTGGGTATGCAATTGGCTCATACAGTTGCACATCACCACATATTGATGATAAAAAGTGAAGGAAATGACATGAAGGACTAGGAAAAATGAAGTGAAATAAAAAAAAAAAAAATAGAGACTATGAGGCTGGGCATTTTCACACCTCATTTTTTTTTAGTCCAAGTTTTAAAGGGAATGTAGAAACAAATGAAATGCAGATTCAGAGAACTTAGAACCAGCAAACAAAGGCAAAATGTACTTTCAAATACTTTCTATGATCTATTCTGTGAAAAAGTGCACAGAAAGTACCATTTAACTAACAACTGGCATGACTCACTGGATGGAGGAGGAGCCTCCAAACTCACCAACCTGTTTCCAGCCCCAGCCAGCAGCAGATCTACAGAGAGGAGTACTATGAGCAAGGTAAACACGACATGAGCAGACCCAGAATATCCTATTGGGTTACACAGTCTCTTCAGGGACTTCCTGAGCCAGAGGAATGATTTAAGCCCACACTAATTTAGCGACAATGCAGCTGCAGCAGTCAACATCATCCCTAAAAATTAAGGTAGCAGAAAGATTTGGTACAGATATTAAATATACACATGCACAATCACCATGTATGTAATGGATATAATCTGTATTCAAAGATTTTGAATGTACAAAAATTATTATATGAAAAACAAAACTCCCAAACCCTGCACATAAAAACACAACAGGCATTTTAAAAATATGAGGTATTGTTTCTAATCCATAGATTGTTTTCATGAGTATAAACCTGTGAAAAAAAATGGAATCAGCTCTCCCTGTTTTAGCTGCAAACAAAACAAATGTCTGTGGTTACCTCAGAGACAAAAGCTAATGTAATTGTGTTCTGTCATTCTGTAGCAAATGAAGAGCTACCAGGAAGCTTTTTATCAAATGGATCACACCACAAACCAAACCTTTGTGAAAATTCAGAAAGGAGATGTAAGATTAAGGACTTGTTCCTTTCCACTTCCAGTTAAAAAAGGCAGTTGTGAGAGAATAATCATCAGTATCCATACGATGAACAGAGTTCCAAACTGCCTTTTTTTTACTTGTCCCAAAATTCCTTACAAAAAAAAATAATAATAATACAGAAATAAAACTCAATGTAGAAATACTTCTGATGCAGGAAGAAACCAGGGTATGATTGCACAAAGGATGACCCGCTTTAGGTGATGCTGCCAGACAATTTCCTTCGCTGTTACATCACCATTAGGTTCCTTGTTAAGCCCGTTTCTTTATAAATCACCCACAAAGGGCCAGTGGCATCAAAATGCCCTATTCAGAAGAGTTTTTGTTACTGAGCACACAGTCCAGGCTCTGCAGCTGTTTAAAAGGCATGCGGAGCAGTCCGGAGTGTCAGGGATGGAAGCGAGTACTGCTGTCAAAGTTATCATCTCTTGAAGCTACAAGGCAAGTAATTTTAACATATGGGTAGAGATAGTCAAAGACCTACCAGTTACTAACATTTGTTTTTCCAGCTGCCTTGGACATGGACCCTTTTTGACAGAATGCTGCAGTTCTTCTTTGTCTGACCTGCCTGGTCCACTCTGAAGCTTACTAGTGGAACTATGCTCAACCCCTTAACTCTGCTGGAAGTAAGAGTGAGTCCTGTCCTGGAAGAGCCAGAGTCCCAGGGCACTAGTTTTTACTAGATTTCATCAATATCACATGTATTTCAAGTAAAAATATCAATATCTATACTCAACTTGATAAGTGTTTGTTCTTCCTTTCCTTATGAACTGTTTGAGCCATGCTGGTATGTTCATTCCAAATTCTGCTGCAATCACCTGTTTTACTACATCTGTTGTTGAGAAAGATGGACAAAAAGCTTGATAGTCTAATGGGCAGCAAACTCTAAAGAAAGGAAAATACAATTTTTTCCATTCAATCAGAGTGAAAGGTATAATCTGTGTCATACTTTCTGTTTAAGACGTTGAGATTAAACTCTTCTGGTGTAATGGTGCCACCAGCAGATAATAGTTAGAACTGGTTTTAGCTGAAAAGCAGATGCGAATACACATTTCTCTGTGTAGGCTATTTAAACTTCCAAAGGCATACCCTTTAGTTTCTTAAAATAGTATTTCAAATATTATTTTAAAACAATGGAGGTGAAAAATTTCAAAATGTAATCTATCAGCAGGTAAAAATTTGGCTAGATACTTTCCTGTACAACTCTCTTTTTTGTTTCTTTATGATTTATAAAGATACAAAATTGTTTGTGACAGCATGGGGTACACAAAGCAAGACCTCTGAAAACAGCTCCTCAAATACATTTGCAAGAACCATCTGCATGCAAGTCATCCCACATCTAATTCATAAAGTTTTTTAAAGAGAACAAGGAAACATTAGAACAGAAGGTAATTATTTTTGCCTCAAGAAGGTCCATATATTTTGCTCACTGTGACAAAGATTTCATGAGAAAAACATGCTGCTCTTTCAGTCTACAGTTTGGGGCAGATCTACAGCATTTTCCCCCTTAAACTTCTCTAGACAGTAAGTCAGTCGTCCACTGCATCACCTCCGAAACCACAATAATAATAATAATACAAAAACAATAATGCTTCCTTTCTTTTTTTTTTTTTCTTTCTTGTAATGAAAAGTATGTAAATGATTATGAGCTACTCAGATGCTACAGTAAAGAACCTTCAAAATGCCTTGGTATGACTTTGTCCTGGCTTTCTTCAAATATAATTAGTTACACTGAGAAGAAAAAAATCCATACCATGGAAATTTTTATACAAGGAACAGAGATTTAAATGACAGTTACAGCAATGTAACTGAACTAAACTCAAGTGCCCTGAGAAGAGTTCCTCCAGATCATGGTAATTAAAGCACCAAGTCAATTATCAGGAAAATAACTGAAAGCAAGACTTCCATCAGCTGACGTACAGGTTTTGAATACAGTAAGGCTTCTAGGAATTACATCCATTCTGCAATCCTTTATGGCCATGGCCTCTCACTGACACTGCCTGAAGTGTGATGTGGCTGATGTGGAGCACCTCAGACAACCCCGCGGGGCTCTCATGACATAAACCCTCAGCCCGAAGTCACTGTCACCCGTTGTGCATTCACACTACTGCACCTGCATATTTTATGTCACAGACAAAAGGTCAAAAGCTTGCCAGCAGGCTGCCTGGCTTCGCAGCCACACAATGCACTGAGAAAAATAACTCCAAGGAGCTGCCTGCTGTAATTTCCTGCAATTCAAGACTATTTATTTTTAAAACTTTTGCTGCCAAACCCCCAGCTGACTGTCACACTTACCGAATTTTATCATCAGAACATTGTAATTTATTAGAGATCAAACCCAACTGGTTATTTGACTGTCTTGGTTTTAAATACCACTCAGCCCTTTTAGCTGCTCTGAATCCTTCGGGCTCTCTATAATTAATGTTCCTTTAGCAGAGGCAGTAAGGGGATGGTGTGTGCACAGCCCACGTTAACCCTTTGCTGAGACCACTGAAACCACACAGAGGGCTGTGTTTTGAAAAGGGGTTGAACAAAATGATCTACAGAATTGTTTCTATTTCTGACATTTGACAATTACCCTTTTATGCCAGTGGGCTGAGCATAGCCCCTAACTACCTAAGAGAAACTCCCAGCCACCTCCACTCCTCGAGCAACAGAAGGGTTTTGCCCAGCCTCACACACATCTGCCACCTCTAACAGCTGTCAGGAGTCCCCAAAATTGAGCTCTGAGAAGCTTTTACTTGTAACATCAAGTAGCACATCAAAAAGCACCAGAATCTCCTTGAGAAACAAAAATGAGGTTGCTGCTATTCTCTAGAAATTCTCCTTTGTCTTCGGCACAGGTAGGTGATCGAGCCAGCTTCTGCAGACACCTGAACATGCTTGAGCTGGCATCATGAATGAGGCCCTGCATCTCCAACAGCTGCAGCACCTTCTTTTTCCACAACCTACCCTGCAACCTCACTCCTCCCCATCTTCCTCATAGATGACCAAGAATGAATACTAAAATATTTCTGAGCAAATACCGCATTTTATTCCTGTATCAGGAGATAATCTCCACTGCTCTTTAAGTCAGTATTATCTGAGCCCAGAGAGCTCAAATACCAAGTATTTGGCAAGAAGTAAAAACCTTCACAAAACAAAAGCCTAAGGAGTGAAAACATTTTCCTTTAAATGTTAACATCTTATCATCAACTATCATCGACCTTCTTTTTTGGCTATATGAACTTTGCCATTAGTAGGAAAATAAAACAAACAAACAAACAAAACAACAACAAAACAATAGTCTAGCATAGGACAACAGCTATGGTCTACTCTTGGCAATAAATATTTACATCGGGGAGTTTTGCATAGTAAAGGGGTTCAAACTTGATGTCAGAACATTCCAATAATCTGTCGTGAAATAAAATAGCAGCAAAATTACTATGCTCAATATCTTACTAAGAATTGTTACTGCAATTGGAGTCCTGAAGGGGCTGTCCCTAAGAAAGCTTTCTCCTTTCTGGGCGAACTATTCAGGGCAGTATCCTTGACTGAACTTCCAGCGTTCTAGCTAATTTGACCATGTTTGCCTTCTACCCTAAGCACTCCCAGCAAAAATAGCTGCCAGAGCTCCTATACAGCAGCTGTTTCAAGAAGAGTCTCAAATTTTTGCAATTCTTCTATACTATTTCAAGAAGATTTTTTTCCCAAGCCTCTCACGTAGCTTTTAATAATGGCAGACAAGTTTTGTGTAAGTCTGTTAGTTTCCCAAGTACAAGAGCTTTGGGGATATTTTCAAGTGTATATGTGAATCAGAGACACTGAAATAATTTTAATTAAACATCAAGATACATGGTGGGCTTAAAGTACTGCTACACATTTTGCTGAATGACTGGCAAAAGGCATAAACTAAAACTCATGATATCAACCTTTTTGTCTATTTTTGAACTACTAGAAAAAACATACAATTCTGTTCTGAACCACACTTTTATAATTTCAAAGGAATTTCTGCCAAAGTAAGCAGGAAATCATTGGATTTAACAGCTTGTGTGCATAATCTACTGCACTAAATGAGTCTGAAACCTATAAACAATTTGTAGTAGTATATAAAAAAGTTGGCACAATTTTTCCCATGACTGTGTTACTACCTACTGATCTCACAACAGTAGACAGGATTAAATTTATGTTTCCATGAGAGTTGTATGATGAAAACCGCTGTGTCTATGACACTGCAGCCTGTATCAGTTTGAGAGGTCTCATAGAACTTTAACTGAACAACAACAACAAAAAAATCTTGCTAAATAAATTGCTGTACAAGAGCAAAGTTTTATTATTATTTATTATAATACCTATACTGACAAATACTTTAGAGAAAGGTACTTTTATTTCCTACCGCAATTCCTTGGAGTTTGAGCAGAAAAAAACAAAACAACCAAACAAAACAGAAAAAAAAAATGAAGGAGAAAATAACAGTAAATTAAAAAAAATCTAAAGCAGTTTTCAGAAAACTGTACTCTGCCCTGGCCTTTGTATAACTGTCAGTAGGAAACAGGCCTCGACATGCAAACAATCCCCCAAGTGCATCAGAGAGGAACAAGTCTTTGTTTAAAGCAGTGCCAGGTTACCCCTGCACTTCTTTACTCTGTCGGCTTCTGGTAACCATAGAAAACTGATACCTGAAGCACGCTGGCTACACGCTGAATGTACACGTCTGTTAATCAACACAATTGGACATAACGGTGGGTACTTACTTACCTTCCTTACTAATGGCTGGTTAACAGGAAACTTTATGTAGCTTTTTTTTGAACACTAACTTTTTTTCAAAACAAACATTTTGCTTCTTATCCCTTGGGCATCTGGTAAAAAAAAAAAAAAAAAAAAAAAAAGGAAAAGAAAAATTCCCCTATAATCAAAGAAACAGTCTATTAAAATAAAGATTATATATAAATATAAGCTTGGAACAGACAGTTAACTAAAAAAGCCTATGCTGGGAAGAACAGACCAATGTCAGCAATCAATGCTATTTACAATTTCATTTTTAGTGCATAGCCTCTTTATGGCTATAAACAAACAAACAAACAAACAAAAAAGTCATATTCAAGAGCAAAAGACATTCCTAGCTGCCAGGCATTATTGTAAATGTGAATAAATACATATATATGCCAAGTTCGTTCTGCTTCCCAGGCAAGCTGTATGTCCCCGAGAGCGTGGCTTAGAAGAGACCAAGTTTCATCACTTCCTCACTGCATTGCGAACGATCTCTGTATCACGCAGCTCAAGGACTTTTGCAAGTTATTTATTAAGCAAGAGTACTCATGTATTCAGGCAAGATATATTTTCTCAAGTTAGAGTAATTTAAACAAGCATTTTCAGTTTCTAAATATAGCATCTGGTCTTGAATCTGTTTCTTTCAAGGCTACAGGGCTTCAGCTGATTTCATAAAGGTTTCATCAATCTGAATCCTGCAAAGTAAAGATTAATCTGTGATCAATGATTTCAGTGGAAATTACACCAAGCAGCTTTGTCTGTATGCACTAAACAGTGGCTGTTCTCAAATTCAGGCTTGGTTTTGTGCCAAATGCAGTACCAAGCAGGCTGAAGCCCCTAAGATTTTGTTCAGCTGGAAACCCCGCTGGGTACCCCCAGCAGCCCCAGGGCATGCTGCTTCTACAGGCTCAGGGGCTCCTCCTTCAAATGGGTAACGTAGCCACTGGTGCTTCTGGAAGTTACATTTCTGTTTTAATGCATTGCCAGACACACGAATTCCTTTGAAATGACTTGTGTACTTTCTAGGAGATCACTTTCTTCTCAATTACAAGTTTCAGAAGCTAGGCCCACAACATCTAAAATTTCTAACCTGTTTCTAAGCTGTTATGAGATTCATTTTTAAGTTGTAACTCACAGTTGTTAATCATGCATTAAACATCAGCAATTAATATGTATAAACAATTTATGTGCTTATGTCGCTTCTTATTTCCCCATATGGATTTTCATACTAATGCTTTAACGTTGCTGATTTCTGCATGTGGTGAAGGCATAGATTAAATAGCTGATTTTTGTGGCAGTGACACTTTTTGTGTCCTGTTTATAATGTTCATTCCCCAGTGGAAAATCTTTTTGTATTAAGTTGCACGAAAGTTATCGAACAAAGTCAAGAAAAAAGAATCAACCACTGTAAGAAAAAGATGCACCTTCAAGTTATTATGAATGCTATATATTCACAAATTTATGCTGATTAACATTATTTGTTGTGAAAAAACAACAGCTACTGCGTTCATCAAAGGATTTAACACTAAGTGGTATTTTTCTGTCTAAATCACAACTATTTGTCTGTCTCAGAATGGGACTATTTGCTAGCCACTTGCCAACAGAAGAAAACATGATTGACTTAAAAAGTTAAGAGAATTTTCTTCATTTATATCTCATGAAGGCACTTTCCTGATTCAAGGCATAGGATAGAGCCCACTGTCAAGTATCTATATACAAACAGAACCACTACGCAATGCTCTACGATAGAAGCTGCGTCCTCAGGGTACAATTACAGCAATTATCTGGATGGATCTTCTCATCAGTAACCTTTGACTCATCTCCTACAAACTGTCAGTCTTCATCATCAAATGGGGAAAGCAACGTATTGTTTCTATTCAGTCATCTGCTTCTGAGAAAGAGAAAACTCCGCTATTAGGACAGCCTGCCTGCCCATATATATGACCTCCTGTAGTTAGCCTGCATCTGCCAGACGGAGTGGCAAGCCGCAGAATAACAGTAGTTCACTCCTGTGCTGTTCTTCTGTCAAGACAAAACCGGCAGGCACTCGCACAGACTTCTGCATTCCTCTCAGGAATCTCAAGACAAGCAGAAACACTCTTTTTGTATGCAAAGCACAGATGCATTGCCTAATCCAAAAAAGTGCTGAATATCTCAGTCCTCCATGAGATTTGTTGGTTATCCGTTATTTCTGGAACTTAGCCCCAGTAGGAAGAGACGACTGTCTCAGGTCCCATCTAACTGTGATGAATTCACTGAACTAAATGGATTTACTATAAACTTGAACCTATGCAAAGATGGAGCATAGGAACATTAACACTATTATCACATTTATTATAACACAATTGGTGCTGAAATAAAACTGCTGCACAAGTTTTGTTGGAGGGCATGGCCTGGAGGATACAGCCCGTTTTAAACTAAGCAATTTTAACTCAGAGTCAGCAATGCTGAGTGATGTAGGGATACATAACTCAGTTCCAAAAGAACATTTAATATAGGTTGGCAAAGTAACTGCTGCAAACATTTTTATAACTTTCATTTTATCATGAAACAACTGATGAATTACTGTAACAGAACAATGGAGAACCACCTCAGCCTAAAAGGAAGGATGGCTTAACATAAAATTCTTCCAGAAAAAGGATAGCAGTTCTACATCTTAATTACAATCACCATTAGCTATTACCCACCATTTGATTAGCTGGTAATAAAAGCAAGGCTCTTTCTTATCAAAGCAAACAGCAAGGTCACTTTGCATTCTTCCCATTAGCTGTGAATGTTGCTGTGTGGGCAGGGCAGGGATAAAACTAGTGATAGGCAGAGCCTGAAAACAAGCAAACAAAAACAAAAACAAAGCTAAAAATAGTCAAAATAATTTACAGAGGTGACTCAAACAGTCAGCTACCACAGGAGAAAGAAACTAAATTCGTCATTGTCAAATGCCCATTCAAAATGAAAACAGACTGAAGCAAAACTTTCAGAAAATTCTTTACCGTTTTGTAATGATCACACAGACCCATAACACTAGACAGAGTCCAAATGTTTCAGTGACTAACTTCAAACAATAGCTGGGCTGTTTAAAAGCACAACAACAGGGAATGATGTTTGCCTGAAGGCATACTGAATTAATGTAAATTGCTTTCAAATGCGTATTTGGTTTCTCAAACAAACAAAAAATAGATATTAAACTGGGCAAGTGGAAGTTACTGTTAGAGCCACATAACATTTGGTCACCCGTACCTCAGCCGTCTATCAGTAAGCACACAGAGGCAGCTTACATTCAGTGTGAAAGACAACAAAAGGGGTGTCTAGTTGGGTCTAAGGAAAGATTACTCAGTTTGCTCTTCCTACCTTAGAAAGGTCTTAAGACTTAGGAGTCTGCATCTCCTTTATGAGCCTTCCCAATTACCACCTGACTAGACTCCCTACGTATTTCCTCCCAGTGAGATACTTTACTACCAGGCACATCCATGGCCTTTAGTCATGCTGCCACAGTGCCTTTATATCAGCCTAAGCACTGACCTTTAAGAAGTTAGAAATGTTATTTCAATTTTAATTCTCTGAGTTTAATGTCTCTGGAAGTGATTAACAGCACTGGCTTAATGTCATTAGGTCCTTGCACATTTGCTCACCACCTTCTGCTAATGTAACTTAATCATTACATGCTGCAACACCCCTGAGTTTCTATTTCTAGTTCAGTGAGATTATTAAACTACTAATAAGCAGCAGCATACTGCATCATCAGTGGGTTTCATTGCTCCTAAAGGCAAAATAATTAAGTCAGAGATTAATTTTGTTCTGTTCTTCCTCATCTGTACAATGGAGACCCCATAGTTACTGTTGTGAGAAACAGCTAGGCTTTTTCACAACAACAAAAATTAATTTCCTGTCTGTTAAGTTTCTGTCACATCAGTAACAGTAGATCTTCACAATTTCTTCATCAAAGTGTGGGTGAACAATCCTACCCAGTGAGAAGAGTACTGCAATGGAAGGCATCTGGTTTCAATTTCCAGATGCTAGCCTCTTAGGTGGCTTTGGGGGAGTCACCAGTACCCTCTATGTACTTTGGATATTTCTGTAAATTATGGAAAGATTTACCAATGATAAATGCTGTGCAGTAGCCAGCTGTTATTTTTTTGGTGAAACAACAGAAAAACAACAAAGAAAACAACAAAGATAGTAAAAGAGGAAAAAAAAAAAAAAAAAAAAGAAAAGGAAAAAGAGGAAATAAAATATTATCAGGCCTTCTTTCAGCAAGGGTAAAAAGCCCACACTGAAATCAATTTTCCAAAATCAGATTGCACAGTATCTAACCTAGCCAGTCATTTTAGCTACGTCTTGTCCAACTATCTCGGTACAGCCCAGAGACAAATTCAGCATCTTGCCCTCTGGCTCTAGACTGAAGGGTGCCAGCTGACCCTCCAAGCATGCAGGATCACCAAGCCAATGTGGGAAAGGTGGGGGAGACTGCCTCAAAGTACCTGAAAAATATACTAACTTTGCATTAGGGGGAAAAAGAGGTGGGAAGAATGTGTACCTACACTTTGGGACAGGGAACTCTCACTGTTGCTTTAGCAGCAGAGTGACTTTGCTACTACCAGGCAGGTGTGCACAGCCCGTCTTTTTTCCTGGCATTGGTGGCTGCACATTGTGGTGGTACCAGAATTTGTTAGTCTGCGAAGAAAAAAAGCTAGCAAGAACACTTTCTGTTTAGCCATCACATGCATAAAATGATTAGCAAGACACCTTATTAAGTCAAAGTAGGACTACCAAAAAAAACAAACAAACAAACAAACAAAAAAACACGCCATAATAATAATAATAATAAATATAAAACCAAAGTACCTTTGACATATATAATTTGTTCTGCTGGCTGGGTAGCTGTGAACCTGCACTGCCATCTACAGGAAGCGCCTCCTCTTCCTCCACCCAGCACAGCTGCACCCTACTATGAAGGCAGGCATCCCATGTCACAGCCCCACTCCATCATCTTCTTGGTAAAAAACTCTTCTTGATTTTTTTAGAACAATTCTTCATAATTTCGGGAGACAGTTACATTCGAGTGGATATATCAAAATGTGCTTGCTTTTGCAGCATTATATACACAAATTAATATTTGAGTTACTATGCTCCAAGGTCTCAGTTATATTATGGAGCCTAATTAGTAAAAATGTACCCAGTGCAGTATTTTTACTCTCTCTGCTTTTATCTGCTGGGCATGGTATGTTTCATATGCCCTGCAGAAACAGTACTTTTCTTCTTACATTAACTGTTTAATGCACAGACAATTTTTACTTGCAGAAGATACTCAGAATGCATGCTTCCATTTAAGCAGAAATCATCTGTTTCATATAACTGAATTATCTGAGGACACTGTTAGAGGCAACTATAAAATTCTTCAGTATTATCTATTTCATGATTCTTCCATAATTAGTAACTTTTAGTTGTGTTTTTGTTGTTGTTGTTTTTAGATTGGCACCTGTTTTGTGTTTGCAGAAAGGATTTTTAGTTAATGTTCCTGCATTTAAATATCATTGCCTTTCATGTGCTCACCTCAGGAAAGCACAAACTGACTGAAGTTCACACAGCTTTCAATGGTATAAAAATATTGAGGAAAAAATTTGCTTCAGATCAATATGTGAATCTAGAAAAAAATTACACTCCAGTTTCAGCAAACCCATCTACTTCACATGCCTATTTCAAGATGTCTTTAAATGATGCCAGGTCAGCTTTGCAAAAATTAAATATTGTGGTAATTAAGCAGAAAGACAAATAAATATTACATTAAATTTCACAGTTAGGCAATTTAATTTAGTGGTAAAAATACTTTCAACATATAGCAACACCATATCTTATCAAGATATTTTATCTTAACAAAATTTTACATTGGATATTATGAGCCAAGCTAGTGACTAGTACCAATAATATTCCTATTAGAGGAAAGCTAAGCATTAACTGGAAATTTAATTCTCATATACTAAAAATTAAAAAGGAAAATACGTGTAAGTGCAAATTATTGATGGCACTGGTCACACGAGTAATTCCTAAAATGGGCATAACTCTAATGATAATGCAATCTTTTGTAAAGCCACATACAGAATTCTCTGGGCCCCTGCAAGTTGTGCAAGAAGTGAAGAGCAACGTATACTTGCGAGTGTCAACAGTTTGAAAAGATTTCTGGAACCAGCACAGAAATCTCTAATAGTTGCGCAAATCAATTAGCAGACTGAGTATTTGCAGGCGCAGTATCTAAAGAGACATTTTCTTAGCTCTAAAAATTGAAGCTTCCAGATGAAGCAATCTGGAAGATACCAAAAAGATATTGTTTGCATGTAGCAAAACATTAATAAACAGCTAAATCTAATTATTGCAAAAACATACACACTCCAGCTGTAAATTTCTCTCTAACCATACCATTACAGCCTTACCAGTGAAAACAGAAGTGTCAATGCTAATGTAAACTCAGCTGCTGATATATATTCATTAGATTCAGAAAAGCTTCAACATTTCTTCTTCTAACTACGTCAAATTTTATCTCAGTGTCATTGGCCACAAATCATCATAGTTATAATCTGCTGTACCAAAACATAACATTTTGTGACACCCAGATGTATTGCCATTCTTGTTTCTTAGTCCATAAAAATCACCTGGAGAATTGTATCAAGAAGACAACTGTGGCTTTCAAACAGCATCTGGGAAGCAGAGAGGCAAAAAAAATGTCTGGATGCTCTGATCAGACAAAACAGTTGTTTTGGTGCTGGTGGCCCTGAAAGTGACCTCAGAAACACCTGACAAACTCTAACCCTGCAAAAGTGCAGGGATTCAGCACTAGATGAACAGACATGAAGAAGGTGTGATGTATGAGGATACCTGGGGTCCTGCTCACAGCCTTTCCTAGCTGAATACTGCATATTGTGCTTGGCCTAGCTCAACAGAAAGGCATGTAAATAACATAAACGAACACCTCCTCTGAGTCAAATTTAGACTGTAAGGTGAAACTACTACAATATTACTACAAATGTGATGACAGGCTAAGGTTTAAGAGGATAACAGTTTACTTTGTCTCTTTTGAGAGTTGCAAAGAAGATAAAAACATAAATGATTGTATCAGGAATTTGCTAATATAAACCAGAAAAGGTGTTCCTGTTACTGCTGTGGAGACCTCTCTGACAGAGCATCAACTGATGAATTAGCCTACTACTGTTCTGCTCTGCCCAAACCTGAATTTATTCACTTCCTGGGAACCTTAAACTAATGACAAAAGCTGAGGAAGCAGAAGAAAGAGAAGGAAAGAGATTAACTATGGACCATCCTTTATTTTATATTGAAATTTAAGCAACAAACACTCAGCTCTCAAGAGCTATCTACAGTAACAGTGAGTAATTACAAGTGCCTTTCTGATTGTACAGACGTGCTGAACCAAGAGCTCTGTAAATTGGCCTGATCACCTCTGCAGTGATCCGGGCAGAAGGATGACTAGCTATTTAAATCAATAGAATTTTTATGTTTGATCATAATCTGGCCAAAGTATGAGAGAAAGAAGAGTTTCTTTATTACGATGTGCTTTGTGATTAACGTGCAATTTGAGTTCTGAAACTAAATTTTTCAGTCTGGTCTGTATTAAAGTGGTGTGTTATTACAAAAGGGGTCTTAAGAAAACTCACTATGGCTCAACTCAGTAATATGTTTCATCCACCTTTATACAGGCAAAATGAATTTCCAAAAGGGAAAAGAAAAAATGCATTTGTAAGCATTGCTAAGCATGGAGTTAGGAAGATATTTGCAAGAGCAGGGGAACAGCAGCCCCAGAATGGGTACCTGAGCGCTGCCAGCTCAGATGACTGGAATTTCTGTTACACAATTCAAGGCTGTTCTAAAGTATTCTTCCATTATTAGCACTTAAATTAGCTTCATTGTGAAACAGTAATTAAACAGCAGGGGAGATTCACTGCTTTAGCCTTTTATTCTTGATTCTAATTTACATGATTAAATTCTAACTTATTCGCTGATTACCTTCTTGCTTAACACGCTTTAGGTTCTCACATTTTTTCCTTCTGCCCTTGCTTCTTTTTCTGGGTGTAGCAGTTTTTGCCCTCACCAGTCCATAATCTTCAGCATACTTACACATATTATTCTGTTAGCATAATGAAGCATAAATAAATGAATCAAATATTAATGTATGTAAGCACTTTAACAAACACATGCACACACAAAAAACAAATATGGTTCTGGCAGACAAATTTGGGAACATGAAGTGAAAGGCTTAGTCAACAACTTCCATAAAACTCCTGAAGATTTGTCCAGGATACATATTAAAACTCTTTAAAGGACCTTTGCCAATTTAGTGGATATAAATTCAAATTTATTTTCTGATCCATGGATAAGCAATAAGATAAAACCTCTATGTGGAAAAAAAGGTTACATTTGCTTTGTAAGTGTACACAGTTAATCAAAAATGGAGATATATTCTCACAGCATACAGTTTTTGAAGAAGTGAATAATAATTTTATATTTTTATTGCTGAACTAATTCTAGCTCTCTTTCACTTCAATTACCTTTTCAAGCTCTTCAATTTTTCTTAAAATTTATACCTTCACACTGCTTTTTAATTTGAGAAGACTACTAAGCATTCTAAGTATTAATACCACCTATACCAGATTATACAAACCAGTACCAACACTGAAAGTATGATGTGGCAGATATTTTTTACCTAAAAGTACAAGGTATTATAAGGTATTTTGTTATTATTAATATATTATTATTATTAAGGTATTATATTATAAGGTATTTTATTAATCCACCAATGTAAGGTTTGTTAAAAAGCTGGTGGTCTTTAAGGCCCCTTCCAACCCAAGCCGTTCTATGATTCTATGACATAAGAACTTTTTTATCCTATTGTCTAACACTCTTTTTCCTAGCACCCTTAGCAGGATTCCATTTTACTGTTCAGACCCAGAACAGAAAAAAACCTGTAAATGATCCAAAAAATGAGGTCCATGTTACAGGCCTTGGGGATGGGCAAAATGGCAGACTTCTCAAAGATGACCGAGAAAGGATTTAATTGGAAAGCTTTGAAATGAGGGCAGATGGAAAGAACTGTTTTAGTTATGTGCTCATGGCTGATCATTCACTGATACTATGCAACATAACCAGCACTTTCATTCTAGCTTTTACAGATGTATAAAAAGTGTTTCTGACAGAGATAAATGTAAATGAGAATATACTTCTCTCAATCAGTTGGCCTAACAGTCTAACACTCTATTTTGATGTGCAGTCTCCCCCATACGCACTCCCCTTTTTTCTTTTCCCCAGAGGTTAGAAAACAAAAATGTATCTTTAAGATACTGAAGTGTTTATTGTGCTGCAGCATAAAGAAGTACTCTGCTCTTCTATGGTATTTGTGTGCTGTACAATTAGATGACAGCAAAGGTAAACAATACAATTAAAGATATAATCTACTGTCAAAATCCAGTCTTTCCTCAGAGTTGGAAATTAATGTGATCCTAAATGTATTTTTATAGCACATTATTTTTTAAATAAATGTTTCACTTTAGATTGATTTTTTCTTTGACAATGCTGAATATCACACTTAAAGCACAAATATTTTATTTTGTGCTCATCACAATGTCACTGAAATTGATTGCTCTTTCTTTATACTTCTAAACAGTTCATGTACAAAAGATTTAACAAGACAGCCTTGGATTTTTCTGCATTCCTATTTTACTGTTCATTTGTGAATCATTTGTCTTGCAAATAAATATAACTGTGGTATTTTAGTTAGATTGTAGTAACAAACGATTTTATCTTATTGAAGTAAATGTATCCCCAAAGCCAACCCTACCTTGCTGAATCAGCCATTAAATATGCAATATTTTTTCAGTGAATTTAAATACCTGCTTGCATGTGTAGCTGCACTGATCACATATGAATGTTTTTTCATCTCTGTGAGTCGTCTGGTGCTGAGTAAGAGCATAACAGTCGTAAAAAACAGCTTCACAGTAACTGTATGTAATTGCCACTACCATGTATAAATGCAGATTTTGCAAGTGGACACCTGAACAGTTATTAAAAGCAATTAATTATAATGGTAAATTTTGGATTTCCATCATATTTAACAAGAGTTAGACTGGGGATAGCATTGAGTAATGCGTTTATTCTAGAGTAAAACACACAAAAAAAGAACCTTCTCTATTCTCTGCAATAGGTGTAAAATTGATAAATAAATTGACAAACAGGCAACACAGGCAATTTCTCAAATGAATTTGGATGACTAAAGTTCCAGTAAGACAGTAAGTTCCCAGAGAAATTAAGCAGTTTAACAAATCAAAAATCCTTTTGAAAAGTCCAGTAATTTTCTGCTTTTATCCACACAAAAAGATTAATTTCAAAATGCTACCCAAAGTAGCAAATAATATAAAAACAGAAATTGAAAAAAATACATGAACAAAGGAATTGTACATATGTAGATAATTCAATTTCTACCTTGAAATACTTAATATATTTAAATGGGACCTTTATTTGAAAATACAAATAGATACTGAAGACATCTCTATATGCCCAAATATTTTTAACATAACTTTTTCATACATTTTCAAAAATCTAAATTTTTTATCTAACTTCGTTGATGTTGGACGCCTACATCACTTAAAATACAGTAAATATGCTATATTTCTAAGACACTGATTTCTTAATAAATCTCTAATGCTATTGAGAGTTGTACAAGAACATCTTTTTCCTAAAGAGAAGTGAATTTACATGTGAAATATATGTATGGTGATATTTGAATCAAGCACTCTTCCAAACAAGAATAGTTCAAAAATTTAATGCATGAAATCCCCAGAAAATTATGGGGGCTTCTATTGAAATAACTGTGGTTTTAACAAGGGGAAAACAAACAAAAAAAACCAAAAACTTTTAAACAGTATTATACTTTTAATTTATATTTTCAGAATCAACCTGTATATCAGTAGTGTTTGAAACTGATGACAAAGGAAAAAAAAAATATTTTCTGCATATAGAATGAAAATGAATTTATACAGTAGTTTTTTTTTACATTCTGGGAGAAGACCTCAATTAGCTAAGAGACATTACAGTTTATTGTATCACCTGCAATGTTCTGTAACTGTTACAGAACCTAAAAATAATATTAGGTATTGTTAAAATCAAATTTAGAATTTTAAGAGTTTTTAATGTTTTAAGCACAGTAAAACCATCATCTGCTCAGCTGATTAGCTCAAACTTAAAGTTAATTTACACTTTACTAATTAATGCAATTACATGTATTTCTTTAAATTATAAGGACAAAGTGCTCAGCAACTAAACACTGAACAATTTCAGACTAAGATGTAAAAACTGATTTTCCATATGCAAAAACATATATATATATACTTAATTAGTCAATATATTTTAGTGCCTTGTATAGCTAGATGGAGTTTTTAAGTAGAGTTGAGAACGAAGCAATTTGAGAGATGAAATGGCTTCATGGAGATCTGGGCTATTTTTGTGGCTTTGAGAAGAAACTCCTCCATACAACCTGGATGTAGGTTTTTGTGAGGTACCTCCTTACAGAAAGACAGAAGATCACACAGGTACCAAGGAGAGAAAAAAAAATCAGCTAAATACTTGATACTTTGTATTTTAAACAAATTAAAACATCAGCCACAAGATGTCACCACATCTCCTTGTAGGGGAAACATGTAAATCAACAACGAACACTTTTTCCATAGAAATATTCTGTAATGCTGAAGTCACATATATTTTATATCATTATAAGCAGTGAAAATTAGAAACACTTCATCCCTAATTATTATTATTTTTAAATTATTTTTTCCCCTCTCTTTAAACTCAGCCAAATCACTTTTTTTGTGCAATAAAGGTACTATAATGTGGACACTGGTATTTTGGCACATTTTCTCCATGCTTCTGTAGCACATGCATTGTCATGCTACCACTTTGAGCAAATTTGGCCCGGTAAACACAACATCCATATGTGTTTTTTTTTTTTTTCACATATAAAAATATTAAAATAATATATGCTTAAAAGCTCTGCTTATTTGACAGAAATGCAAAATTCACACAGACCTAAACATCCAACAGCAACAACCCCCAGAACAACCAAAATCTAAACATTAGCTGAAAATGCCCAAAAGGCTAAACAATTTTACTTGGCTGATTATGATGCAAATTTCCAGAATCTGCAAGTCAAATCGATGAAGCATAAAATCATTAAAATAATTCTAAATTATTAATCAGGAATTATTATTATTATTATTATTATTATTATTATTATTATTATTATTATTATTATTATTATTATTATTAATTTCATCTTGTAGGTGGATATGATCAGATGTGCAAGGAGAGGAAATGAACAGCTGTAACTCCATAATAAAAGTGATACAACACTAGGCATTGATAGTGGGAAAAGGGAAATTTTTTCTTGTTCTTCTTCCCCAGAAAATCACATCACACATGAATGTCATCAAAATTACATCAACACTGGCAATCAGCACAGTCTAATAAGAGCAGAGAGAAACAGCCGTGTTGAGGACCAAACATGTACATAGGTTTTGAACTAAGCTATCAACGTCCTGGGTAACGCTAGGCGCATTCTTGAACATTTCTAGTCAACTTATTAAAAAAAGAATTTAGTTTACTTGCACCAGACTTTTCTCCGAGATGTGAACCACTTGCCCATTAATTAAATTTTGCAGACAATATGTAAGATGAAGTATTTTCACATGTTAAATACCTGTATGTGCATTCACATGGTTATGCAGGAGAGTAGCTGAATGAAAAGCCTTAAGGCAGAGGTGACACACATGATATTTTTCTTCAGAACGAATTTTCATGCGATGGTTAATACTTGATATGCTGAGTGAGGTGAATGTGCACAAATCACATTTGAAGACTGCTTTTTCTCCTGTGAGAACAAAGATACATTTAGATCATGAGCCACAAAATAATGACTTTATGTTTCAAAGATAGTACCAATTTCAATATAGTTCTTCTTGTTTTGGTAAAAAATACTTCACATTTTACATAAAAGAGCTTCAAAATACATTACAAAGAGTCAAGCTGTTGGACAGAGATTATTTTTTCTATTTAAGACTTAAGCAATTCACCCCAAAATAGTGCTATGTGTTAGTGATACAGTTTAGTACCTAATTCCAGGAATCCTAACTCCTACTCTAGCTCTCACCTCTGAGACAGGATGAAAGTTCCTCTCTTCATAGCATCATTAAGATGCGCTTCATCAAGGCACCTATAAACTATACAATACATTTCTTGATGTCAACTGTGTAACTAGTGCTAAGTTTAAAGATTTGGATATTTCAGGCTAAACTATTCTCAGCATTCTGGTAGTCCTGAATCAGTAAAGTGTATGTAAAAGCCTATTTAAAATTACGTTGATTTTACGGAAAGAAAGATTCATACCTTGATGAATTCATAGAAGAATAAAGTTATGCTTTGTGAACTACATAACATTTCCAAGTTCTTATCACAACAGTAATGAATTTCTTTAGAGAGTAACAAGTCAAGAGGAAATGTGCAGCACTTTCAGTTTTGAAAAAGATTTGAAACTGCAAAATGGCAAATATGTCATATTTGAAGAGCCTTTCCAGAACAGTTGTCTCAGCTCCCAAGTGCACTCTGTAATGATTTTCATGCTGAGACCAAAATGTATTTCATACAATGCTTTGTACCACACAGAATGTGCAGCTAACACTTCACTTCAATAACAGCAAACAAAACCACTTTATTGTTATTTATTCATTGTGGATTCATGCCCACACAATAGAACTTTGTTAGCTTTATTAAAGCTGCTCAAGTGTGCTTCCTATAAACACAGTAACTAAACCAAGGGACATTAACAATTGGCACAATATCCATACTTTAAACAACCTTCACCGACATACCTTAATATCCAGATACTATGACGCACGCATCCGTAGACTATTCAACTCTACTGATGTCATCCAACTTTTACAGTACATACATACAGATTCTAGGGAAACAGACACTTATCCTTTCCCTTCTATGTCAGTCCTTGCCCTCTGCAGCACACTTCTACATTCCTAAAATGTTATAACAGCTATTCCCTGTTACTTTTATTGAGGTTCTGTGCGATACCTTGCTGACAGGCACTGGTATTTGCCTACCACTCTCAGCCAACAAGTTGGAATCCTTCTAAGTTCATTCATAAGCCCATGAACACATGCATTTTGAAGCTGAATGGACTAGGAAAGGCTAAATAAATTATTATTAGGTTTATTCAAAGGCATTTTTACACAGTTTTAACTTTGAAGTCTCCCTGGAGGTTTCAAATACTGCATTCTGTTCAAAAGACCATTAACTTCTAAATGCCATCCAAAATGGAGCTCCTGAACACAGCAGAGATTACATCAACTTGAACAAATAAATTTAATAATATAAGGATGAAGGGTATTCTTCCTTCTTTCAAATTTCCACAGAAAATTAGCTTTAATTTAACCTAAGCTTAACAATTGACAGCATGAATATTTCATAAAAAATACAACTTCACTGCTAAATTTAACTTAAAATATGTTATCTAAAAATGAACTACAAATATTATGCAGTCAATTTTTTACCTTTTTTTTCTGATGTGGAGCAGTCATTTGAGATTTTGGATCCTTGGGTTTTCTTGGAACTTTTCTGCTTCATCATGGGTGTCTGACAAATCACCACTGGCTTTACAGCTCAGGCCTTTTGCTTCCCCAACAGCAAAAAAATTTCCTTTCCTCCCTCCTCTTCAGATGGGGTCAGTTGCTGTACCTTAATTTCAAATGCAATGGCATCGTTATCTCTGTCAATCTATTTAAATAAGAAACAGTTTTTCAACTTCCTTAATCAAAAGTTGCTAGTGGCAAAATAACTATCAACAGCAAGCAACCCACTAACTCATTTTCATCCTATGTATCATGGACAAAACTGCAACAAAAATTCACATTTAACATTCAGCAGCATATCCAGGCACTGAAGAGTTACAGAAATTGAGACCCAGCTCTTCAAAATTTATGAAGTTTCTGAGAATCTTTTTGAGATTTTTTCAGTACATTTGCCTTTTAAATGAAAAGGACAATTTTTTTTTTCCTTTGTCTTATGGCATGATATCATGTCATAAGGTCATGACAGTTTTTTTTAATTGATACGTTTGGATATGATCATACCTCAGAAACTATCTAGGGTTGCCACCATGGCCTACCTCTAAAGGCCCATGCCTGAGGGATGGCAGAGAGCCAGGCTCCTCGTGTGTCGAACTTCTGGCACAGCCCTGTGACCGGGCTGTGGAATCAGCCTGATGTTTTGTCACAACGTGTCCTAGGTGAAGATCTCTCAGACTTAATTGTAGCCCCTTAACCTTCTGCTCCTGCTCAGCTGGAGACCGCAGGGCTGAGCTCAATTGTTTTCCCCACTTTCAAAATATTTAAAATGATTCCCATGTTTCTCATACGGAAATACTTCAGCCTGCGCCTCACGTTGCTGGAGTGCTCCTTAAGAGCTGGCTGACGGCTAGTACTGCAGCATCTCTTACATGGGGATCTTGAGTATTTTGCAAAATCGATTGAAGTACATTTGCAGAGGCAGTAGAGCATCATTGTACTATACTTTAGGTCAGGATTGGGTATTCAAGGAGAACAAGAAGTTTTATATTTAAGAGTTCTCCAAAGGTATTGTAAAAATATCTTTGAGGTAAACTGACAAGATTTGAGACACTAACATTTAATCTTGTGTACCCTTCTAGAACAGCAATTTCCAACTCATATCATTAGTACAAAGTAGTAGCAAATGCTCCTTGTCTGTTTAGCTGTACTGTTCCATCAGACAAGGTGGTATTTTGCCCAGTGGCTATATTATACTGTGTTTTTCACAGTATAGTTAGCACTGCTGCATATCCAGGAGCCACGTGTACCCTTTTCCACAGAATTTGGCCCAGACATTTTTGTGTTTTGTGTGCCTAAGATAGCAGGCACCATTGGAAGAGCCGGTGATCCAGATTACTGCGAAAGTTGTAGGCATGAAAAGTAACTCAGTGGGGTCATTATAACAAGTTGTAAGGATGACAAATTAAAATCTTCACGTCTTGAAAAACGAATCTCATGACAAACCTGATTTGAGGTCATTGACTTTACTTGGCCTTATCTTCAGAGACAGAAGGTTCCTGTAATTCCCATAAGTACCCTTAACAACAACTACTCCTATCTACAATTCTGCAGGCTCCTAAATGCAAGAATAATATATATTTTTTTACACTTAATAACTGCAAATTAGTCATGACTAGTATGTTACATCAAATCAACACAAATCCAGAGCAATTATTTAAGGGAGAATATGCATTCCAGCAATTTACGGCTAATATTTCAACGTAGTTACCACATTATTTGTAATCTACAGAATCTGTGGGCTCTGAAAACCAGAGAACTGGACACAGAATACACTATACATAAATAAAATTATGCTGCTGGTGACTGTAGCTGGAGATTATACTTCTTAGGCACTGGTCAGTCTTTTCAAATTGCTACGTATATCGTGCCATTATGATAGTTGAAGGGCACTGAAGAAAAAAAATATTATAAAAATATATCCTGCTTTAGGTCATTAAAATGAGTTTCTCTGCATTTGAACAGTCATCAGGGTCCAAGAGCTGTCCTGCCTTGTACTTCTGCTTTATTAATACCAGCACCATCCACAAAGCTACAGTTAAAGGTCTGTAATTATTTCCATTATAAACTGATATTTTCAAGGATTTATAACTCAAGGATTATAAAGTGAAGGGCAGAATAGCCCTTCAGTTCATTTAGGTTGAATTTAAAGGAGCCACTTGGATCAGCAATCTGCAAACTAAAGCACCGTCTTACTATGTTTTGACACAATAAAGGTTAACAGCTCCGCAATGGCTGTTATGGTATGTTGTTTATGCAATCTCCAGCTACCAAATACTGCTTACGGCATCTCTAACTGCAATCAGACTTCTACCCACTCCTCTACAGGGACTATTTGACTATTTCTTTCTAACAAAATATTTCTGCATAAAACATCATGAGAAGAATAGATTACTTTTTTTTTTTTTTTTAAGTTGTAATAATATTTGGTGGGGTAAACATACTCAATACAAATTATTTTATAGGAGTATTTTAAAAGGAATATAAAGACATTCCATTTGCAAGAATTTTAATTTATACCAGTTCTCTTGTGCTAAAATAACGTCACATAAAGAAACAAAATTCAAGCACAAAATTGCACATAAGTTCTTGATAAGAATCTAGCAGTGCGTGAAGGTGAATATGCGGACAAACAAAAACCCTAAATCAGCAGAGTATATTCTACCCTTGGCTGCACTAAGGAAACATAGCAAACTTTGGTCTGATCCGCATTTTTCCCCTGAGTATGAACAGATCAACGGACTTTTTTAATGAGTTAAATATTGGGTTATTTATTCCGATTGCCAGACTTAAATCTGAATAGTGCCTTTTATAATATTTAAGATGTTTACTGCTTGTTATATGCAGCTTTTTATCAAAGCTTCATTATGATGTAACATAAAGTATATTTGACCCTGAAGGTAGTTCAAAATCTTCAGTTTCACTCTCTTCCTGTGTTTTAGAAAATCATTTCAGATAGCTTTAGAGGCTGTATAGTGATTCTTTATTGTGTATGTTTTGCACCTCCATCCTCGTATCAGAGGTCCTGAACTACCACCCTCTGATGCCAACAGAAGGATTGCTATCGATTTAAATGGGTTTGGAATTAGGCCCAGGATAGATAACCATGTGAAGCAATAACGGTGTGATTTATTTACACATTTCTGGCCCGTCCAAAAAACTCTGAGTAAATCAAGACTGTTGTACACTTGAAAAAAAAAAAAAAAGAGAGAGAGAGAGACCAAAGCAAAAAGCCAAATAAATAAACGCCACTTTAACCTCACGTGTTCATAATCATTCCGTTTTATGATATTCCTTCTCATAGTTGAAAACTCCATTCTTCTCTGCAACATGACTCCTGTTAGTCTACTAGGAAACCCAGTCTTTGTTGTGACTTATTTTGACAGTTTTAATATCATTTTCCACCTGGCATCTGGAAAGTTTTCCATTTTCACTTTCCTCCAATGTCTCAATTTTGTTTCCAAGTGTATGTCGTATTCACACTGCACCTGTCAGAGTGGTATCTCTGTGCCTTAACATGGGTCTGAAAACATGCACGCCTTTACTTTTGCTCTTACGCCAGGGACAATTGCTACCTTCATCACCTGTTTTGCAGTGCAATCTTGCTCCTATGAATAACAATAGCAGTAAATAACTATCTCTACACCATCACTCATTTCAGAGAAAATGAGTATATTTTTATGATCTTCTAATTTATGAGGTGTCTTTAAATATTGTTCTGTTATCGAGTTATACTCACTAAATGGTGAAATCCTTTCACTTTACTTTCTGGTACTGTTGTCAACTTTTTTTTTTTAGTGTTCCACTTTCACACTGATGAAGCACTACTTCAGAGAGCATAAAAAAAAATTAATTAAAAAAAAAAGTGTGTCATCTAATCAGTGAGATAGATTAAAAAAAAATCTATATTTTTTGGATGCTGTTCTAAGCAACTGAAAGTAGCAGAGTCAGAAAAAACTTAGTGCTTCAGAGTGCTGGCCTAGAAGATTCTCAGGAGAAATTATGCTTTCTGAATTTCAGAAAAGATACTGATCACTTGGAAAGAAGACTATTATTAAAATATTTTATCTTTTTCTTTTTTCAGACATCTGACTCTGAGATGGGAGATGCAGTTGATTCCAGAAGACATTATTTAGCATCCTGATTTGACTTGGATTTCTCGTCTACACAAAACAGCACAAGACCCCATATAAGCCATATAAAAGCTGATCAGACCCAGAAACTTATATAGTCCTACCTGTATATACAGCCTTACTTCTTTCTTTTCTTATTCTCCAAAGCAAAGGGAAAATGGGAGCATAGCAAAGCAAAGACAAACAGAAGTCACTCTGGAGGGTATTCACTGACTAGTGTCTGGCCCAGGTATTAATTACCACTTCTCTTTCTCAGTGCAAAGAGGAGGGTGAGGAGCGGTGCAGAACCCTCTCAGAGGCACAGCAATTGCTTGGACTGTGCCATTAGTAAACAGTTGACTTGATGCGGGCTGTGCCTAAAGCACAGTGAAAGCTTTGCTTTGTTCTCTCCTTCGTGCTCCTCTTGGCTTTGAGAAGAAAAATCTCCTCTTTAAATACGAGTGGTTCTTGTAGAACCTAAACAACTTCTATTAAGTGAGAGGACTTAATGCTTTTATGTCTTGCCTATGCTTTTAAGATCTTGCTCCATACTGTTAACAATTATAATTATATAGCACGAAAAAAAAAAAAAAGGCATAATAGCATACAGATGTAGGATATATAACAGGGGAAGCATTTAAGAGAAGCTTATTGGAGCTGAAAGTACCAGGGGCGATTGCTCAGACACAAGTCAGGGAAGTGGTCTAAAAATATTAACCATAATTGCAATTTATCTATTAACTGTTTCATCTAGCATTGCGATATATTTAGATCAAATTCTGCCATCCAGTAATGCATGGTTTGCTGCTTGTGGCAGACAGCAGATCTGCGTGCCTGGGTCTGTTTGGAAGAAGTGTATTTACTTGGGAAGCATTTTACTTCCATTTCAGAAGACATTAACATCGTTACAGTTAACTACACCTCAGTGACTTCCTCTGTTTTTACAGAATACTTTTTAATCCAAGAGATAGCAAAGAAAGTTTTAAAGACAACTCACCTTAGTTAGTTAGTAAAGGTTTTTGCTGCTGTTTATGTAAAGGTCAAAGAGTTAAGTTGAAGAGGCAGAAAGTTTTCCTCTTGTTTTGACTAAACTGGAGGAAACGTGCTAGAGCTGTGCAGAATTTGATTGCCAAACACAAAGCGAAGATACACAGTGAGAAAGATAGTAAAGGTTTAACCCAACTGATGTAAGAAACAAAATTCAAGGATGCCTGTGTTTCCTTGCCTTTATCACACTGTTAATCTTTAATCAGGAAAACAGTTCTGAGAAGAGCTCTTTGTGCACAGCTAAACAGGCATCAGTGCTTGGAAGTTAATGGGATCACCAGAGAATGAGACTATTAAATCATTGTCCTAATAAATCAATAAGTGAGATGTACAACCCAAAGGAGTTCAAATTCTGCTTCCACGTGGATATGCAGCAAGTGCACATTAAACCTTGCAAAATCAGCAGTAAGGAACTGGTTGGCGGGTTCAGAAGAGCAGTGGCTTCCTGTGCAAGTTTTTTCCAGCTCAGATCACAAATCTGTACAGATGCTGAAGCTTCTGAGGATCCCAAATTGAGCTTCTCAGTTTAAAAATCCAGAAAAATCTAGGATGGACTACAGAATTTAAGGGCACGTATATACTAGTGTGGTTTCACTGACAGCAGGTGATTTACTCCTTGATATTTATCAGCAGAGAAACCTTAAATCTTAGTCTTCCTTCCAGCCAATGACGAATCATCACTTAATGTCCAAAGCTAGATAGCCCTGTGCATCTCTATCAGGAACTTGTATCAGAAATACCTATACCAAGGAGCCATAGGTGTAAATCTTTCATGCTTCTGTAAGAATAAACAAAGTCAGCTTTATAGTACTCCCTTCTTTATAATCTTTTTGAACAGCAAGATGAGCAAGTGCCTAGAAAGCAAATGAGAACAGCTAAGTGACTGGTGTTTTGTGAGTAATACTTTGTTCATACTTTGTTCAGAGCTGTCTCTACTAACTTACAGTTTGTTGATCTGTCATTCATACCCTTGTTTTGTGCTGTCTTGGTGATATCTAGGCAGCGTGCCGTGTATGTTTTTGCCCCAGATAAGGAGGTACTGCCTTCATGCTATCATAATGCAAATTCGTGAACTTTACAAGGTTAACACGTGGATGACTTGTTTTTAATTTCTTTGCAGGATGCAAGTTGGTTGTTATTCATTTGTACATATTAGTTTAAGCTCACATATAAGAGGTTCTTCTTTAAGTAAACAATAGTCATATAATTATGAATCATCCTGAATAAATAAATTTGAAGACAGGTTCAGATGGTAGGTAAACAGAAGTATGTACAGCAGAATCAGAATTCTGTCTTCTCAGAAGGACAAGAAAAAAAAAGTATGATCTCTAGGGCCCAGCTGCACCCTTGACCTCTTTACTGGGTGTTTTTTATAGCAAAAGTCATACTTGTGGCACTTGTCTGTTAGGAACCATTTACACTGGCCAAACAAGGATGTTTTTACATCAAAAAATCCCCTTGTGGTCTACCCAAGTTGCGTTCTTCCTATTAGAAATGAGCTAAGAATACATGTAGAGTATGTAGGATTTCACCTGACCTATTAACACTTACATCAGGATTTACCAATAAACACAGGCTCTATTTCAGAGGTAATTGGTTTTTGTAATGTTGATTCTCCTGCAGCAGTCAGGTTCAAGAACCGATAGGTATGCAGTGCTTGACATAGGCACGTTTGCCTTCTGACCTTTAGATGTAGCCTGGCTTTATTTCTGCACAATCAGCTTCTCTCTCCTCTTGTCGCTTCCAGTGTTACAAAGCGCTTGAAATATTCATCAAAGCTGTTTTCCTGGGAAAAATATAGAACAAATCTTACTTGAAACAGAAAGCACAGTTCAGCCCAAGTTGGTGCTTTTGTACCATCAAAGCAGAAAACGGGTTATAGCAAATGTTTTTCATTTCAAATAAGAATATACTATTTGCATTACAATAATCTAAAGAGTACCCAGCAGGGACTATCTGTGGCACCGAACATAAATATAGTAAGAGATAACGATCTTGTCTAATTAGGTTTTAAACTCCTCAGGCCAGGAGCTATCAATCAAACTAAGAAGAATAACTAAGAAGAATACACAAGAAGAGAGAAAAGTTGGCATCATCAGCTCCCAACCCCCTTCCCACAGAGAAGATAAAGGCTTGGGGGTGTAAAGTTTCACATCCAAAGTCAAATAGGAAATCCATAGCAGAGGAAGACACAGAACCTAAAACTATGAGTCTGTACCCACTCTTGGTGTTCAGAGCCACCCTTCTTTAAAGTTGGCTCATGAAGAACATACAGATCCGAGTCCAGTAGGCCAGATTGCATGCAATGAGCAATAAAAATGACAAGTGAGACAAAAGGTAAACGAGAATAGTTCAACAAATAAGAAAAACCATGCTGCCAGTCAGGTAGACAGAGCAGTGTCACTCTGAAATGATAGCTGACGATGGAATGCTGATAACAAGCAAGGGAACACAGAGGGACATAAAGAACAGCATGCAAAAGCACCAGTAGCCAGGTTTATCTCATCCTAGAAAAAATAAAGCAGTTTACATTTTAAAAGGTGCTGCCATTTCATTCCATAAGGCCTGAGCAGGTGAAGTCTCTGTTAAAAGGCATAGCTAGTAGGATCCCAGTAATCAGCAGGAAGTTAGAAAAGTGCTTGCTCTTGAACAAGAGGTTGAAACACAGCCTGCTGCTTGAAACTGTGTGGGTTTGGTACAAGGATTTGTCATTTACCCCCACCACAGGTAGGAAGCAGGGAGTCCTTGACAGCTGCAAACACACAGCACTGCGGTGAACAGATTTCACTCCAGCAAGGGTTACCATTTTTATTTGCAAAGCTAAATCTCGGTGCCATCTGGGCTTTGTATGACTGAGCAGAGCAGATGCTGCATAGGTGAAGGGAAACACACAACCTTATGCTGACTGTTTTCCACTCTGTTTAGTACAGTTTGTCCCCTTCTCTCCTGGCTGTGGTTCTGCTGTGCATCCAGCCAAAAAAACTGCATTAACCATGCAAAAAAATCAGTCACGTCCTTACCAGCCTTGAGCTGGCTAAGGTAAATTCAGACAAAACTTTGGTGGGTCCAAACTCTGCACGTGCCTGTTAGACCTTATACAGTAGCTTAGAAGAGCTCCGTAGATGACTCTTGTCAGGATTACACATACCTGGCTGCTGCTCAGACACCAGTGGCTAGAGATAGAGCCAGATATTCACACTGATTACTGACGTGGGTTTTAAGAGAGAAGACAGTGTTCCCCAGAGTAGAGTCACAGTTTGAGAAATGGCTTCCAAAGAATGCCTACATAGCAAGGTTAAGATTATGTCAATTAATGTCATCTCCAGAACTAATGGACTGGTGAGAGAGAAGGATTAACAATGAATAACGTGCAGCTCAAAGCCACCAAGAGGGGAAACACCATTAATGGGGAATGCTTGCCTTGTTCTGCTTGTGGCGTGCTGTCTCCCACCTGAGCTCCAGCTGCAAAACTGGAGTCCAAACTGGGTGTCTCGTGTTGCTGATAAGGGTTGCCAGTGTGACATGAGGGAATTAAATCCGTGGTATCCTTTATCACGTGAAGAAGGATACACACACTATCTCCCCAGCCAAGGCTCCAGTTTTTATCCTTTACAAGAGAAGATGGAAAAGAGAACCTCACCTCCCCTGGTGACTATAACATCTGAGAGCCTGTAAAAGCGAGCTCTAAAGAAAAGGACTAAATAGTTTTTGCCAAAGCAGAAGAAAAACAGTCAAGGAACCAGCCTGCCTGTGTGATCCACAAACATAGTATCCTACAAGCAACCCCAAATCTCATGCAGCTGGATCAGCCCCAAGAAAAGTTGCTGTAAGGTGGCAATATCACACAGGGCTGCAGTGGGTCTGGAATAAACTCCTGGCTCTGTCACAGGCTCTTTTGCAACTACAGGTAATTTGCACAGGTCAGGTTTTGTTCTCTAAAATTGAGAGAGCAGGCCCTGGTCTCTGTGAGCTGTACATTTACAAGGGCTGCCCTTGGATCAGGGCTTGTGCAGCACCCAGTAAAACAGCAATTGCAGCACGCTCAGTGTCAACTGAGTACAACCTCACAGCAAAAATAACAATTGGGAAGCAATGTTCTTCAGCTAGCAGACTAGCTGGGAGAATCTTTAAAAAAAAGCTATCATTCTTTAACAAAACAACAAGTGACATAAAAACTCTTTTGCAATGACAATATGTGGGATAATTATTATGGGAGGGGGTAGAATTTCTGAGGATTGTTATATGCCATTAACTTTCAGATCTCCTTGAGAGTGCTTTGTTATGGCTCCGTAGCAATGAAGTCTGAAGCTTTGTGACACATTCTCCTTGCCCCTAAGAAGCCTCACATTTATTTAAGTTCTAGTAAGTCAGAAAAAGTTGAAGTGCTCAAAACCTTTATTTTGAACAGGCTGAATGGTGTCCATCAAAGCAAACATCCCAAAAACACTCCTTTCAAGGCACTTGTTGAACACTATCATCTAGAAATGTCAGATTCACTCTCATTTAAATAATTTGACAGCTTCCAAGAAGACACTTGATGAGCATCACTTTCAAGTGTCAAGATGCACAGAGATAAAGTGCCAAAAAGTGCAATCTAAAGAAGTTGTATCAGCTATTAGATGAGTATTATAGTTACTACTAAAGATCTTTCACTTAAATCGAAAATAAACTTTACATTCAAGACAATTTTTTTTTTTTTTGAGTCTTTATATTCCCCCTGTCCATCTCCCATGTTTCTCACTAGTGAAATCTCTCAGCTCACTGAATCCAGAAGGCAGACACGTGTGGCAAACAGCAGTATGTGCTGGCATTGGGGGAACACCTCAAGACCACTACAACTGATCTATTGGAGATGCCATTTCTGATTGTATTTTTTGTGGCAGCCACTGGTGGTTATAAGAATTCACTATCCTCAGATGAAACCTTTACTGCCATGTGTTGGGTATCTAAATGCTGAATTTCTAAATTAGAAGATTCTTGAAAAAAAAAAATCTTGGCCTCGATTTGCACATGCTCCACTTACTTCATTACACCATAGTATAAAACACTATGCATGCTTTATATAGGGGCTTGAGGCTTACTGTGTGTTTGTGATAGGCTTTGAGATTCTCTGATACGAAGTGTTACCTAAATACAAGTAATTTGATGCTTAAGTGTCTAGAATTCCCAGTGGACATCTGCACTCAAGCCCTGCTGCCATCACAAATGAAAAACATTTGGAATCCTTAATGTGATTTTTAATGGACATATGTTCATAACACAGTGCCACCAATTTGGCATATTTAGTGTCTTCTCGAGAGAAGCCCACAGTTTGTATAGCAAGATTGTGGGAGGTTAGGATTGCAGTATGAGAAAATTTGCACAACACCTGCCTGACTATAATTTAATTGGCAGAAACTAATGCTCCGGGTTCGGGGATTTTTTCCTTCGCTGAGAATTGAAGAGGCACTAGGACTAATCCTGCACTGTTGCACAGGACCAGAAAATGATCATATCACGGCATGAGTGAAGTCTGAATAAAAGCATCAAACTGGTAGTGTTTTTTGTTTTGTTTTTTAAATGCTGTTTTACTCTCACAGTTGGTTATTTCTATCAATACTGACTTTTATCTGGCCATCAGCAAGGACTGGGATTATTTTCATACTTCACTGGAAAAACAGTCTGCTCAGTATTAGTGAAGAATGTGCTGCATTTTATTTTTACTAAAGTACCTAATAATATACATTTTAACATGAAAGTGGTTGACCAAAATATTTCCGATCTGCTCCACCAGCAATGGAGCATGTGGACTCCAAACACACTGTGTTCTTATTAAATTGTCTTTGATTTTACCTTTGCTTAATGCAGAGCCCCTTCTGAAGCAATTTCTAGCACCTCTTATCCTAACAGATTTTTGTTTTCCTTTTCAGCAATGTTTGGCCTTGCTGTGCATCAAGGACAGCCCCTCTTACTTCACTATTTTCTTCCCTTTGCATTTACAAAACATAATAAAAGGCTTTGCAGGAGAGATAGAGGATACGCTCCCAGGAGAAGCGTTCCTGTGGTCTCTGACCACTGCACTTGTGAGGTTCAGCTCCATGGTATTTGAAATTCAGATCTCTGCTCTGTGCTGCTCTGCCAGACTGGGCTCTTCAGGCCTTGCAGCTCTCTGCTGTCTACATCAGAGAAAGCCTTGCAGGAAACATCTCATTGACTGCACGAACCAGAGCAAGTGACGGGTTATGAATATCCTTTGTATAGGACACCTGCTTCAATTCTGTTGTTTTAGAGAACTCCCAAAATCTTAACTTGGATTCCCAAATTTCCTGTTCTACAAATTGCCTCATCAATACCAAAAATGCCAGTTTGGCATTGCTGGGAACTGGGTGGAAGTGGAGGAAGATGAAATGGCAGCAGGGTCACTTCTACAGTTTTCTTTGAAATACTTCAGCCTTCACACACCCTGACTGTATGGACAAATGGACATGCAAATCAGCCTCTCTTTATAGGTACAATGGTCTAAAATGGAGTGGGAAAAGGTAGTGAGCTGACAGACAGACAGAGAAAGAGTTAGAGGAGAGACCCTGAAGGGACTGAGGTCACACCCTCACAATCACAAGCATAGCAGTGGCTGTTGGTGTCATTCACTGCCTACATGTGTAGATGTGCGTGTAGTGCACTTGACACATACACAAGAAGGGTGCAGTCATTTCAGAGTGTTTTTGTCCTTTTTGTTTGCCTACTAATTTCAAGATGGGTCAATATTTTTCCCCCCCATAATACTCCCAATAAAATTACTGATAAGATTTGAAGGAGGGGGTTAATTACTAAGATGGTTGCTGATCTGCCTTCTCTGAGCTTGTAGAGATGGAATATAATTCCTCAGCTTGCAAGAGCCTAAAGTAAGGCATAACCAAAAACTTTCTTAAAGAAAAAAAAGCTCTTAAAGAAACGCAGCATTTAGATTTATATTGCCTTTTTCTTGAAGGAAAAAATATGGACAAAAGTAAGAAAAACAAGGCCTCCAGGCAGGCATATTTAGCAGTTATTCAGGCTGATCAGTGCTCAGCATTGAACTTTATCCACAGATCAGGCAGCGTTCCCAAGGTAAGTAAACACACCTTGGACGAGCCCCCGCTTCACAGCCAACTAGCGAGCATCTGCCGACAAAGCGTGCCAGCTGTGCCTCGCCTGGGCGACCCCCCGGCTCCCAGTTCCTGATACTCTTTGTACTCAACCTTTCCCACACACCAAGAATTTATGACGCTTTCGGATTCAAAGTCAAACTAGATCAAAGTTTGGTTAAACTGCTATATTTTGTAACTGCTTCAAACAGCAAACCCAAGGGCTAAGAGCCACCGCTTTCAGCATTCATTAATCAAACCTGTTAAATGATTACCTTGTTAGGGCTGCTTTGTTGACAATCCTGCACGATGACAATGCGTCAGTGGCAGTGTCTAAAGACATATCCAATAGTGACATAAAGAACAAGCCTCCCTCACCTCACCCAGTGGGTTGGACACCAAGAACAATATTTAAGGAAGGAGAAAGCCACCTAGGAAACAAGAGCACTCCAAAGCAAGTGAAACTGGATCAACAGAAAGGGGAGCCATATACTTGCTGACATCCATCCAACTCAATCTTTTTAAGACAGTAAGTAGAATGGTTTCTACACATTTTTTCCAGTTTGAGATTGCCAGTGATCCAAATTGTTTATATTAATTATATACTTCTGCTTAGAAATCAAGACTACTACAAATTCTGTTTTTGCGTCATGCATCCTTAGGGAGGCAGATTAAGACTGGTTAGAATGTCATAGCATGCTAACAGATGTGATATGTTCGATTTTAGATTGTGATCAGTATTTCAAATCCCTCAACAAGATCCACTGCAGACTGCAAGAATGCCCCCAGAGTTGAAAGCTGAAGTAAACATCATGCCCAAGGTTACCCAGGGGGATCTGGAGAGTCTGCCTCCAGAAGCAAGGGAGTTCATTGAAAGTAATGCCAAGCTGTGCCAACCTGAGAACATTCACATCTGTGATGGCTCAGAAGAAGAAAACAAAAAAATTCTGGACATCATGGTAGAGCAAGGCATGATTAAGAAGCTGAGCAAGTATGAGAACTGGTGAGTAGCATAAATGGAAGTCAAGTAGCATCTCAGAACAGTGACGTGTATTTTCTGTCCACTTACATTTAAAACTGTTCATAATTCTTCAATATTTGCTTTCCATGAACATTTTGGCACAGCAGTTTACGTAGGTGAAATACAAAGGAAAAGCAAACTTTTCCTCTAAAAATTAGCATAAAACATATTATTCAATAAGACTATCAACTGTACATTGTCTCTATTGATCAGTTACATAAATCAGGGAACTGAAATAATGTCACGAGACTTATGTAACTAATCATTAGCAATGGTTAAATATTATTTAGCAAATACATCTTTTGAAGAACTCTACTATTTTAGTCAATTAGTTTATTCATCAAATACTTTTTTTTTTTTTGTGGCATTCAAATAGCTCTGTGGGTGTTCAAATATTATTCAGTACAGGCATTATTCATATCATGCCGATGAGCTTTGACTGTAATGTATTCAGCAAATACTTTTTTTCAAATATTTCATCATCTCTCCCAACTAACCCAACATGAAAGGGGAATATTAACAACAAGTACATGCTCAGGAATTACGTGCCGACTAAGAAATCTTCATGGAAGAAATCTGCAAAGGCTTTTGAATAACTAAGTGCAGGAATTTGGCAATCTGTTTGCAGACTATTTGGGAGAGAAAAGGGCAAGATTCACCAGATAAATTATTCATTGTTAATTATATGCTTAGCTGTAGTGATGATGGTTATGACAGCCCAACTAGAACATTTTTATATTCGTAGAAAATTTCTATGCGCAGAGGTGAAAATGTAAAACAATCCTCTCTAATGTAAATAAATAGCAAAAATTCTTCAGAAAGGAAAAAAAGAATCCTATTTAATAAACTCCTTCGCTGTTTATGATCCTGCTTACAGTCAATATTTCTTTTGTGATGCCTCTAACTTAAAGGACAATGTCAGTCCCCTAGGCTGGATTCTCAACCCACTGGCATGTAGACCAACACTTAAAGTACTTGCTTGGCATCCACTTAGCTTCAGGCATCACTTTGTGGTCCCTATGCAAAACTACTGTATACTGATGAGAAGGAGAATTAAATGAGATTTTTAACTTTTCCCTGAAAGTCAGTAACAGAGAATAAAGCTGAGATAAGAGGCAAAGGAATATTAACATGTAACCAGAATTTCCCAAGCCATATAATTTGTTATTCATACTGTAAAGTCTTGAAACAATTTGTATGAGAGAATGTACCTGACTAATTTTTGAGATTATCTTAGTTATTCTAGTTCTGTCACTTTAGTTTTAGCCTTACAAAACATTGCACTCTTTTGTACTAAAGGAGTTCTGAGAGAAGGGTGAAAAGTGTCATGTTGATTTAAAAAATAATAATAATAAAAATAATCTAATTTCCTGACTTTCATTGAAATGCAGCTGGTTGGCTCTCACTGACCCAAGAGATGTAGCAAGAATTGAGAGCAAAACTGTCATTATCACTCAAGAACAGAGAGATACCACTCCAATCCCTAAAACTGGAACTAGCCAGCTGGGGCGCTGGATGTCAGAAGAAGATTTTGAGAAAGCCTTCAATACCAGATTCCCAGGCTGCATGCAAGGTGGGTGAGAAAGGAAGGTTGACATTGAATTTTCAGGATTACTGAAACACCATAATAATTACTGTGATCTTTAACAAAAGATTGTTAAATCTTTTTAAATCTTCAGCCTCGCTGAAGGCTTAGGTGTGGACACCAATACTATTCAATTTGTAAGTTTCATCTGGATCTTTACCACAGATCCAAATGCCTGCACAAGGATAGTCCTTGGTCTCTTTCCACTAAATAATTAATTCTGTTCTTCACAAAGAGAGATACAGCATGGTAGGAAAATTTGTATGTTTTTTTCAAGTCACAAAATAACTCAGCAGCAGATAGCAAATGAGGTGAAAATGGAGGATCCCCATCCGGAGCAATAACTTAAGTGATTTACACCACAGAGGAACTGTCCTCCACCCACCTTTACTGCTGGTTAGACATTTTGTCTGAACAGCTGGTTTCAACAATTAAGATAAAACTTGCAACATGATCAGACAAACAGTAAGCTAGATGTTTAAACATAGGAAACACCCACAAGACAAACAGCTTTTAAAGAAGTGAGAAACAACCTCCATGTTAATAAAGATTTTTTTCAAGAGTTCCTTGGTTTGCCTTGTCACATATCATTCATTTTACTCCTGTCCATGTCTTACAGGACGCACAATGTATGTCATCCCCTTCAGCATGGGGCCTATTGGGTCTCCTTTGTCCAAGATTGGGATTGAGCTGACAGATTCACCATACGTGGTGGCCAGCATGAGGATCATGACGCGGATGGGAACAGATGCTTTGAAAGCCCTGAGCAATGGAGAGTTTGTAAAATGCCTTCACTCAGTTGGATGTCCTCTACCACTCAAAGGTAGGGAAGATTAAAAACTCCCCAATGGAAATTCTCAGGAGCACATTTTAGAGCTGACTGCATTCTTTGCATTCAGGAAACACTTGCCATAGAAGACTGGGGTGGTTTGTGTAACAGCACTAGGTTCAAAACTCAATTAAAGGAATCAAAGCTCAATCATAGTTTCATGGAAAGGAGATTATTATCTCTCGTACTTACCAGGGGCTTTCCTTTGAAGCATCTGGTGTGGGTTGCTGTCAGAGGCTCAATGCTGATGAAACAGCACAGTCTGATCCAGCATGGAAATTGCTGCGTTCATGAGCACAACATTCTGTTCTGCAGAACCATTAATCAACAACTGGCCATGCAACCCAGAGTTAACGCTGATTGCTCATCTCCCGGATCGCAGAGAGATCATTTCATTTGGCAGCGGTTATGGAGGAAACTCCTTACTGGGGAAAAAATGCTTCGCTCTCAGAATTGCCAGCAGGATCGCCAAGGAAGAGGGCTGGTTAGCAGAGCACATGCTGGTAAGAGCTATTAAATCTTGTGTGTTTGAACAGCCATCAAACCCTAAATTAGCGCAACATAAATGCATCACATCTTGGTGTCAATGAAATTACAGTCTCATATGGATAGTCCTGAAGCATTAGATATCAATATATCACATGGCAGACTTTTCAGAAATAGGAAACTGCTTGCAAGGTTAAGTACCAAACGTTTTAAAGTAGGACCTATAAAATCAGGAACCAAGAAAGATTTAGAACTTCTGACAGTGGCTACTTGTAGGCAGATCCATGTACTTGAGCAAAGCCTGAACATTATCACCGGGCATCCACATTGCCCCTGCAAACTGAATCATGAAGGACTAATGCAAGTTTTGAAAGCAGTCTTTCATATTATAAAGAACTCAATGGACTCAAAAATCTGAAAATATTAGATTTTCTATATGAGTTTTGCATTGTGCCCTTCTTGCCTTTGCTTTCTGTTGTCATTTAGACATCATACTACTATAAAATACTACTGAAAATTTAAAGTTCATGATTGAATAGTCTCAGGAAAATGTATCTACCTAGTATGAGAAGCGCAGAAGTACCCATACATAAAGTGCTCTCACTCCACAGCAATAATGCAGCCAAAAAATATTGCCTGTTTTTCTTGTCTTAGCTGAGAAACACAGCTGTATACAGGCTGTATATCTTTAATTGGCAAAATAAATAACTAAAATTGAATCATATACACCTGACATTTCTAAAAAAAAAAAAAAAAAAAAAAAAAAAGATCTCCTTACACATTATCTAAGCGAAAAAAGAGAGGACTTTTTGATTAATAAAATATAGCTTGTGTTATTTGTCAACTATATTATATGCTGCTTCGTTTGTAGGAAGAAATTTGCATAATTAAATGTTTTATCATTAGTACTTGCTGGTAGACAATCTTCAAAATGAAAAATGCAAGAAGAAAGCCTTTTAACAGTTGCATCTGCTTTTCAATAGATCCTGGGCATTACAAATCCAGAAGGTGAGAAGAAGTATTTTGCTGCAGCATTCCCTAGTGCCTGTGGAAAAACTAACTTGGCCATGATGAACCCAAGCCTGCCAGGGTGGAAGATTGAGTGCGTGGGCGATGATATCGCCTGGATGAAGTTTGATGAACAAGGTATTGAACTGAAATTGCATTGTAGTACAGTCCACTACTGTTTATTTTTAGGGTCAGCAAGACATGCTACAAAGTTCTGAAGAGAACTGAAACAGTTTTATTTACTTATATTTTGTCATTTAACTTTCAGGGCACTTAAGGGCAATCAATCCAGAAAATGGCTTTTTTGGAGTTGCCCCTGGAACCTCAGTCAAAACAAACCCCAACGCTATTAAAACCATATTCAAGAACACCATCTTTACCAACGTAGCTGAAACCAGTGACGGCGGTGTCTATTGGGAAGGCATTGATGAGCCATTGCCACCAGGAGTAACCCTGACTTCATGGAAGAACAAGGATTGGACCCCAGATAATGGTAACCCTGCCTTATTCCACATTCTCTCTTGGCTTTCTCTGCTGAATTTAAGTTCGATCTGCCATTACGACCTTTTTATTCTATTCTGTACAGGGGAACCTTGTGCTCATCCCAACTCACGGTTCTGCACTCCAGCCAGCCAATGCCCCATCATGGACCCTGCCTGGGAATCACCTGAAGGTGTCCCCATTGAAGGGATAATATTTGGAGGCCGCAGACCTGCTGGTAAGAGATGCAGCAGCCCTGTAGTAAGCCTGAAGTGCTCATCACAGACGGGTTGAAATACAACTGGGCATAGACACAGATCTTGCTATCATGGCTGCAAAGGCAAGGAAATAGCCATGTTAGCCCAACTTCTCCATGTTAGCCTTTGACACACACACAGCCACTGATATTTCAACATCTAAATTGTTAGATGTTAACAAAAACAGGTAGTGATAGTAGAGGGCTGGAGAGAGATCAGGACCCACTACTCTGGGTAACACATAGACATGTAGCAAATTATTGTATTTGCCTCAAATTGCTTAGAGTCTAACCAGTTTAGATAGGAAATGCTTAGAGAATTAAAACAGTTGTAGACTGTTTGCAGATAATTAAGTGAAATTAGTTGTTCTGTTAAAGGTCACCTAACATTGGAAAATAAAATGAAGTAATGCTAGGTCTGAATCTAATACCATGATTGTGACCACAGAACCAGTATCTGCTTCCAGTAAAATCTTCTGGGAATTCTGAGGCCCCAGGACTCAGGTCAGCTGAGTACCTAAACATCGATGTGTTCAGTAAGTAGTAGCCAGTTTTGAAAATATCCATATAATTTACTCTAAGAGGGCAGGAAACGAACTAAGTTAAAAAAAAATAATAGAAGAATTAGAATAAATTACATAGTTTAAGGCATACAATACAGCGGTATCTCAGGTAGCAAAACCTGTTATAAAAATGCTTTTGGATCACTAATTACTGAAGTGAATTTGTTCTTTACAGGTGTGCCGCTTGTATATGAGGCCTTTAACTGGCAGCATGGAGTATTTATAGGAGCAGCCATGAGATCTGAAGCAACAGCAGCTGCTGAGCACAAAGGTAAATCAAAATCTAGTCTGCCTACCTGTATTAAAAGCAATCGCCTCTCTGGAGAGCTGTCCTCCCCCTCTGCTCTTTCACATTTGAATCTTGGCAGCTAGTTTTGCAACCTGTGCATTTTCGTGATAGAAAATATTTGTACTGGAATTAAAAGCCAAATTCTCTGTAAAAGTCAAATTAAGCAAAATAATCCCCTAGGTGGCAAGCATGCAGAACAGGGTGCAATCATAGGGTTGCCAGAAGAGTTGATACAGAGTTCCTGTTACAGTCTGTGATAAGTAAACTTACATTTTCTGTTCTGCTAGAGCTCAACAAAAATACACGAACAATGAAAGCCAGCTCTCAAGGATCTTCATTTAAGCTGCCTTGCCTGAGATTTAAGAAATTTACTTTCCATTGACTGCAAAAATTAATTTAATTTGTAATTCAAGGTTCATGTTTGTACCATTTCTTAAAGTTCTTTGGTTCCGATGCAGAAAGGTGGTTAAGGGGCTAAAGTGGTTAGGTACTAAATCCTGGGAGGAACTGACTCTTTGTGCTTTAGAATAAATGTGCTAAATATTCCTTAACATTCTCCATTTGTGTTTCAAACAGGCAAAATCATTATGCATGATCCATTTGCCATGAGACCTTTCTTTGGCTACAATTTTGGCAAATACTTAGCCCACTGGCTTAGCATGGCACATCGCCCAGCGGCAAGACTACCAAGGATCTTTCATGTTAACTGGTTCCGGAAAGACAGCCAAGGGAAATTCCTGTGGCCTGGCTATGGAGAAAATTCCCGTGTGCTGGAGTGGATGTTCAACAGAATTCAAGGGAAGGCCTCTGCCAAGCCAACTGCTATAGGTTACATCCCTGCTGATGCTGCTTTGAACCTGAAGGGTTTAGAAGATGTCAACTTGACTGAACTGTTTGATATCTCCAAAGATTTCTGGGAAAAGGAGGTAGAAGAAATCAAACAATACTTTGAAGGGCAAGTTAATGCTGACCTTCCCTACGAAATAGAAAGAGAAATGCTTGCCTTGGAGATGAGGATAAAACAGTTGTAGCTGATCAGAAAAACAATTATTTATCAATCCACATATACTAAAACAGGACAAAACCATTTTACCAAATCGACACACTGATGAACGGGGGTTATAATGAAAGTAGGTCTTAGGTTGGTTAGGCTATAGATAAGGGCATCCTAAAGTAACTCCAGACCTAATGATTTATAACTGCATCAGTTGTTGTGAATTGGTGAGCAACTGTGAGAATGTATGTGCACGGTCTCCAGAACTCTGATCTGTCACTCACATGCACAACTCTGCATATAGCTATTGATGTATTTAAATTACTTGCTGACAGCTCTGCAGATACAATCTAAAACGATCCACCCCGCAAGGTGTAGCACATTGTTCCCATCACACAAGCCACTAGAGTCTCAGATTAATTTTTTCATTTTTTAGCAGTATCACGCAGAGGAAAGAATGAGACTTAAATGTTGTATATATGTATTATCTAAACATATTTCATGGCTTAAATATTTTTTAGAAAAATGAAGTTGTAACTTGTATCACTTGTTGAGTGAAAGATGACTTTGTATTACTAATGCATATTTAAGATATTGCTATTATATATGCCTCATGTTCCTGTGATTTCCAGATGTTTTGCATGGCTTGTTCTTTAAACTATTGAAATAAATGTTTATACAAAATATGACCTCATTTCCAGTATTTTCACTGTTTATAAAACTACATGCCTACAATTTGGGCCTGCTGTCAATACCACAGCACAGAGACAAATTCACTTGGGGAAGTTAGATGCTGACTAGCATTGATCTGCTACTCCTAAGCAAAACTGTTTAAACCACGCACTTTCTTTGCAACCTTTATTCAAACCAAAGAAATGATATAGAGATTATGATACCAGCTGAGAGCAGTCATCCAGCTAGACATGTGCTCTCCATAACTGGGCATTATTAGTTGCTTCAGACATTTATAAAATAAACTATCCTCAAGGAAAGCCCTGTATTAGGCTGTTGCTCATTTGGTAAAGCCATAGGATTTCTCTCTGTTCCACAATACTTAGGCTTTTGCAAAAATAACTAGTGGAGCTGTTGAAGTAAAGACAGTTTGGGAAGTTTTCTGGGTTGGGCGAGATGCCTAAAGCCTTAGAGCTCAATGAAAACTTGGGGCTAAATGGGCCCAAAGTTGGTTTCCTTGTCAATCAAGATACTAAAACTGTCCCATGTGCTCCCGAATAAAGGTGTCCTTTACATGCTTCTCATGTGCCTGGCAGGTATCCTGCTTTTTCACTTTGAATGCTTGATCTCCCCAAATATATTGCAAATATTTGCTTAGCAAAAAGAAAATCACTTACATTGTGTAATAAGCCTTTTTATAGACCCTGCTTCCTCACAAAGCAAACAGTACCAGGGCTGGTCAACAGATGCCCTTCAAAGTTTGCTAGGAGAGGTCACATAGCCCAAAGAGCCACTAACTACCTCCTGGCTTCACGTTTAGGAGTTAACACAAACATTATCGACTCTGAAACGAGCAATACAACACAAGTCAATAGATAGATCTCACAAAATAAAATAAAATAATATTAATAAAAAAATGGAAGAGAAAGCTGTGAGGAAAGCAAAGGAGGGCTGCACAGACTCTGTAGAAATGATGGCCAGTTGGCCTCTTTGCTGGTAAGCAGCACATCTGCATGGATGCAAGTCTCCTGTATGGTCATCTTTAGCCTGCATAATCTTGAATGGGCTCCAAATTAAAATAAATAAATAAATCAAATGGGAAGACTGCAAATAACTCAGCAGAGGAAAAAGCGAGCCAACAGAAACTAGTTTATGTGCTCCTCTGGGATTCAAAGAGTGCTATCGTATGTATAAAACAGAGTTGTTTATAGAGTAACTCTATAAATAGCTGATTGACTTGGTCAATCCTATACTTAGGAAATCTAAGAAAATCTGTCAGGCTAATGTCAGAGAATTATGGCCAATCACAGACCCAGAGTTTTTTAAGGGCCTCATGAGAGGATCTTAGTCCTGAGCAGTGCAGAAATGTTCCAAGTGCATTTTGAAGCAGTGCCCAAGAGATGTACAGTAGCTCAGGGCTTTCCAGAGTGCCTCTGAGCATCTCCAGCATGCTGATCTGCCTTCTCGGCTGGGCTCAATGTCCTGAATATGACAAAAGGAGCGGCTCATACTTCATGCCACAGGGACCTGTGCCAAAGGCCAAAGTCTGGCAAACATATGGACCTGGGACAAGTGAGTGACACTTGTCCCATGAAATGCTGCTCAGCAAGGAGCAGGTACCATCACTGTGATCAGCATAACTACAGTACAGCACACCCTTAGCTGGCAAAGTCTGTGGTACAAGGTGCTGACTGCCTCAAAAACATCGCCCACAGCACGAAACACTGGATTTGGTATTGCAGCTAAACCCTTGCTTTCTCCAGCAGTGGCCGCCTCACCTGGAGGCAGTCAGACTCCATCTCCCCCTCATCCTTTGGGTGCTCTTCCCATATAACTTCACGCAACTCGTGAGAAAGGGCTATCACAAGGAATTCTGGCAAAAAAAATATTTAAACCACTTATGGCTCTCTGGCTCCACACATTTTAACCACATGCACCTTCTCAAGTACTGCTCAGAGACTGACGGGCACGTGAATCGTTCCAAAGACTACAGAAAATGGGGAAAAAATCTGCTGTACCGTTAAGCCTGAGAACAAGAAAATAACTTTTTACGTGAATCATTCAACAGCTTCTTTGTATGTAAATATATCTGTAACCCATCAGCATCTATGGGGAGTACAATTTACATTTTGAATGATCAAAATGTTTAGTATTGGCAGAGAAAATGTTTAAAAAGAGAGAAGGCGGCGGTTTAAAATTTAGAAACTTAGTCAACCGTGCCAGATTATGATCTCAACTTCTCTCCCTCCAACAAATACTATGCTCCATAAAAACAAAATGAATTAGAACAAAATGCTTTTAAATTGAAATTTGGAAGTTCTCTTGATTTTCAAAAGAAAGAGGGGAAGGCAACAAATGCAATAAATTTCAACAAATTAGTAGAGAAATATAAAACTTGGCCTATTAAATGCAATTCAGAGAAAGGAAGCACAGGAAAGACTAACACATGAAGTGTACAGAGCCATAACATTTGCAACAGCTGTGTTATGAAATGCACTTGGTATTCTGGGAAGCGAGAAACAAAATACTTTGTTAAAACACTTGTGGATGTACTGGTGGCTGAAAAGAAGAGAGACAAAGTCAAAATCACAGTTTAACCATGAATACTGTTGAGGATATGGTCTGATACCTTATTTATGCCACGATTCACTGAAATGAAATGACACACCGCATCCATGGAGGCCCTGCTCAACTCCCGTAAAATTAGTGCAGCCTCTTTAATTGGCTTTTAACCACTCAGACAAAAATCCTGTCCTCAGTGCCCAATACCCATATTAGTACAGAAAAATCCGTAAAGCTCAGACCCAGATCTCAGTCCAATCTTTGCACAGGTGGAGAAGTCTCTGAGCTGGGTACCTTGCTTTGAATTCATTTCTAAATGTTTCAAGGTTCAGATTTTCATCTGCATTTTGTCTTGTTCCTTCAAAACTCTTTCTCAGGCTCCAGTCTGGGCCATAATTAGTCCAAGCATACAGGTTATCAACACACCTCTATTCTGTTAACATGAATGAAGGCTAAACCAAATAAAGAACACTGAGAAAGCAACATTGCTGCAGAGCCCTTCTTGGGAAAAAGCAAAATCCAGCTTTAAATCTCAGAACTCTGTGATGATAGGGCTATTTTCAGGGAAAGAAGAAAAATTTGGAGAATGGCATTTATGCTGTGGGAAATAGCGTTTTCCAAAAACCTTGGCTACCATAGTAACATGATTTATTCCATACTTGCTGCAGTATAGTCAATTAGCTCCCTAACTGAAGACAATTATCGTGACTGGAGACATACCTGGCTGGAAGACTACTGAAATGCTGCTTATGAATGGCAAAGCAGAGCACTCTGAATTCCAAATTAGTAATCATTATTGTTGATCATGGAGGACATTTCTGGCAGTGGTTTAACCTCAACAATACAAAAGGGCACATTTGTCAAATCGGTGCTGGCAAACCTCAGTCAACAGGATTCCAAAACACGTCCCACCACATCTGTGAATCTGTATGCAAAACAGCAAGGTATAAAACCAGAGGAGAAAAGGAAAAAATAAATTGCTATTGTATGCCCTTACCGCATTCTGCAACCACCATGGATATAACTTTTGGCTGAAAAACTTGAACAGAGAAGGATTTTGTGAGCAAGTTACAGAAATCCACGTATACCAACATGCAAAATTCAGGGTGTTTCTGATCACCGCAAACACAAACATCATTATGGTTTCTTTGCTGTAAGAGTCTGTGCAGGAGACCTGAGCTGTCCCTCCATGGCATGAAGAGCTTTGCACTGCCTTCACTACCACCAGCATTCATTTTGCTCATCTTCATGCTTGCTCCATTGGGCTTGCCATGACTCCTCTCCAGAATAAATGTGACCAGATGTAGGTTTTGAGATTACTTAATTTCAGCTTTAGTTCAAGCTGATAAACTGCTAGCAGAACTTTTGCTGGGGTGTGTCAACACACCCCAGAATTGTTATTTGTATCTTCTTTGGAAATGTGAAATATTAACCACTGGAGAGAAAAAAAGAGAGAGAGAAAAAGAGAAAAGAAAACATCTGTTTAATCCTCCCAAAGGAACATATCAAAGTTTTTGGGCACAGCCTCAAGGCCTTTTATTCAGCTAAAGGAAACTTTTGTAAAGCTGCTGTTTGTTGTTGTTCTTTGTTTTTATCCAAGCTACTAGAGTTTGTTCTTTTCCTTGTAAAGCACCAGACACCATTCCCCAGGTTGAGATGCCCAAGGAATTACCCTTCCCATACATTTGCTCCTAATAAACAGCTGTTTTCCAGAGCAAACTAAGCTCACCCTCCATGGAAAATACCTTCTAAATTCACAGCTAATAGATCTTACCCCTGCTTTGGATAGCCCTGGGGGCTTTAAACCAGCTAAACTAATAGCCTGATCTCTTGCTGCTCCCCACATTTCTGCAGTGAAATCCTAGGAAGGCCCCGATCCACACTGGAGCCTGGCACAGCGACAGCACGCGCGTAAGAATGCCATCTCAGCTATGAATGTGACGAGCACAACAAAACCTTATTTTACCCACCGGAAGCCATCCCTATATTTATCTGTGTCTTCCTGAACAGATGAGAAGCTTCCCATGGTGTTCTGGAGCTCCAGATCCTGCGGGTGGCTATGAATAGCAGCTTTAAATTTATCCAAGGTTGGAGGCAGAGTGAAGCCTAAATGCTGCAAGATGGTGCCAGTTCAGCTGGTTCAGGAGGCAACAGAGCCTTGCTTGCGAGTGGCATGCAGATAAATTCCAGCCCGCAGGGTGAGCAGCATGGCCCCTGGTATCCACTAGAGCTACAAAAGCAGCGTGACTTCGTGTTTATGTGCTGCTAAGCCTAGAGCAGTCTGGCTGTCCCAGGAATTACCCAAGGGAACCTTCCGTAGGTGACAGCGCGCTGCACAGACTCTGGTTGAGCAATCCGACTCCTGGTTTGCCCAGACTCCGACACAAATTAGTGCCTACTTTCCTTTTCCTATAGCTTGTTCAAGTATGACCAGGTTAAGGTA